GGAGGAGCATCATACCTTGACCTCCCCTCCTCTGGTCCCATGATTATTACCCAGCTTGCATTAGAGCTGTAATGGGAAGTGACAAGTTTATGTAAATGATCCACACAAGGATTTTACTCTTGTAAAACAGAGCAGTTACTCTGGGCTTTCTAATTATTTCATGCCTTGTGGTTCTGTGATGGGGCAGAGATGACTATTACTTGAAAAGTATATTGTGATTGACAAGCCACTGTCCCCCTGGAACTCATTAAGGCCTGTGCTTTGCAAGAGGGGGTAGAAAACCCTACCAGGCACACCACATGCACACAAGCAGGCGCGCACGCTCGCCCCAGTGCCGGTTGCTCTCTCAGATCATTTGTTGGGGTTTTTGCACTGGTGGAGAGAAGCGCAATCTGCATGGATCTCAAACAAGTACCACCTCCTGGCTACAAATTGACCAATTATCCTCCGCTCTCCCGTTCCGAGTTTAAAATCTAAGATTATCGGCAACAGACCTGGCAGGCGTACAACGGCCTTCGGATTTTAGCGTGCTGGGTGGAAGAAGTCGGCTGTTTCAGCAGAGTGGGGCTGGGGTAAGGGAAGCAGGCTGCTATAAAAGCTGTCACCAGTGCATTTCTGCTGCCACGCGATTTGTGCGAGTGCTTCCCAGGACGTGTGGAGAGCCATCCTGCTGCCTCGGCATGACCTGTTTGCCTTTCTGTCTTAATTGATTTTTCTGGCCTTCAAACTTGCAAACAAAATGACAATTTGTTTGGTGAAAGTAGAGCCCCTGCCTTTTGAAACGTACACCACACTCCAACCATGGAGAGAGGAAAAATCCCATTCAGCAGCTGCATTAATGCTTCCCATTGTAGAAGTGGTTTTGAATTCTGCTGCTGGTTTGGGATGTAACACAGTTTAGCATAAAATCAATTCATGGTTAACTCCATAGTGGTTGGATCTTATGGGCATGCAGCATTTCTTACTTTTAGTTCACTTCTGATTGAAGTAAACCCTCTGAGAGGCTTAAGAAAAGCACACGGCCCACTTGAATTCTTCCATTAAAGAGCACTTTGCTTACTTCAAGTTGTCTCAATCTTTACAAATAACAATAATAAAAAAAATAAAATAATAGTAATAAAAAACTTTATGTCTTTCCAGTTTCAACCAGGAGTTGGATACTTAATTCACCACCTTTCTAGCAACCCGCTTGACTATATCTGCAGGGGAAATTCATGAGCTCACTATTATGTTCCATAATAGCATTGCAGTGAGATAACAGCCACCCATCATCTCTGTATAATACCTTTGTTATGTCTAATTTGTCAGTAGATTTCCCTCCAAAACATCTAGGTCATGGATAGTCAATTAAACAATAATAATAAGAAGAAGATTCCTCACGATCCAACATATAAAGCTTAGGCCAAAAGCTGTACATCACTGATACAAAAATCAGCATAGAGGTAGAAATATGGGAACATGGGAAAAGAGAAGAATAAAAATGTAAAAGAAAAAAAAAAAGGCATGGAAAAACCTCAGAGGTCAGTTATATTTTAGAGCAGTGAGAAGTGAATACACCAGGGACTAAGGGGGATTTTCAAACATGCTGAGCATTGGCTTAATTTGTCTCCTTTGAGGTGACTCCACCATTATGAGTCTCGTAAGCACAGATGTAGATTAGTGCAAGAATAGCCAAGCTCTGCTTTTTGAGGTACGTGTAGTTTGCAAGCAGATCAAGGGCACTCTCAGGCTGGCAATCAGTCATTTGGCCAGGAACAAAGCTAAGCAGTCCTGTAACCCCCGTGCCAATCCAAACCTGTAGCTGTAGAAGGAGGTGAGTTAGCAGGGAGCACAGAGGCCACTACTGCTAAATTTCTCTGGTTTTATGATCTCCATCCCTGCTTTTGCCATGAGAGACCACAATCATCCTCTGCTGGTGAACTGCATCCACTGCTTCCCCTTCCTTGGCTCTCCAAGACACAACTCTCACATGCTTCCAGCCACTTGAGGAATTTGGCACATGGCTCACTGGGAGAGGGAAGTGGCTGACCGGCACTCACTGTGCTCACCTGGTGCATTCCTCAGTTGAGTCAGACTTCTTGGAAGTGACAGGAAGAACCTCCTTTGACATCTGATTTTGAAGGCCAGCTGCTAGAAAATACATAGCTTTATGTATAAGCTTAGCAAGTGCTAACCAAGAGACTTTTTATCTGCAAAGCAGAACTGTCCACCAGCCATTTACCACCAGCACAATGCTTTCCTACTAAGCCAATTTTATCTTATCTCTGCTCAACCTGTTCAAGTTAACACTCCAGCAACAGCTCATGCTCTCCCTGAGTGTCCTTCAGAGGCAGCAGTGGAGAGCTTCTCTGCTATGTGTTGTTTTTTTTTTTATTATTGGTACATTTCCATAGCAGCTGAATCTATTGCTCACTGCATCTTCAATAGCAGAAAATGCATGGGCTACAGGTAAGCCTTCTGCTGCTACGATTCCCATCTACAATTGGATTACAGGGCAGTTTTTAAATACCTGTTCCAAGAAGCAAACTGAAAACAGTGGAGCCCTGAAAAGGCAGAGGATTCTTGAAACTGAATCTTTTGGGAGTTTGGACCCTTCTATGTCCAGGGGTTAAACAGACACTTTTTCTGTCCTACTGAAAAAAAAAAATTGTCAGTGCTGTGACCAATTCATCTCTGACCACAGAAATGCAGAAAGAGTGGACAGAGTTCCAGCTGAAAATATTTCAATAGACAAGAGCATTGTAGCCACTCCTGCAGGGACTGTCCAAACCTTAATTAATAGAAAAGAGCCTAACTATAACCTGAAGAGAGAAAGCTCGACTACATTCACAGAGCCTCTTTGCTCTGATAGGGACAGACCAAAATCTATCATATGTTCAGTTCTGGTCATACTCAGTTCACCTTTATTTTAACAGCCCACTTGCTCTCAAAACTGTCATTTTGAGGAGTACAAGATCTGTATGTAAAGACTGAGCTCTAGCAAGTCTTAATCATGAACACGCAGCATCAGCAACAGGCACTAACTCCATCGGAAATGCAGCAGAAGAAGCCAGCAGTTTATTCAGAAAACATCTTGAAGCGTTTGGTTGCAAAGAGGCCGAGCCATTTGCTGCAGTGCTGGTGGCAATCAGGCCTGTTAGGTTATGCAGAAGAGCTGCTGTCAGTGAAAGTCATGGCAGAAGTGCCTTCAGCCTATACTTCACTGAGTCCGTAAGATTATCTACGGAAAAAGTTAAGATGGCACAGTTCCTATATGTGCGGTACTTCAAATATTTATGGAAACTGGGCTTGTAAATCATCCCGGTGAAAACCCAAGCTCGCATACTGCTGGCGTGTTTGTCTAGTCACAGTGCAAGTGCCTGACCTTCGCGGTGCTTTATGTGGCTCATACAAACTGCTGTTAGTGACGTTTAGGTTAAATTTGCTGACTTTGGAAGTCGTGTCGTGGAAATCACGTATTATTTCCCCTATCTCAAATCTCAAACTGGTCAAGCCCCAAACTGCTTTGCACTGGGAAAAAGGTATACACATCACCTATATTTATATACATAAGTACATATTTATAATATTTAATTGTATATACTATAAAACTAGCTATGGATAACTATAAAACGTAGAGGTGTTTAAGGTCATGAGTGCTGGCTACTTTAAGTAGCCAGGGGATACATGCAGAAGAAGAGTGTTGAACTTGAACTATCCATTTGGTTTAACTACATTACAATATCAGAAGCTACAGCTAAATACGTGGATAATTTAAATCCTACCTACATGTAGCAGGGCAAATTCTGTCAACTTCATTAGCTTAGAAGCGTTCAGGGTTAACACAACCACATTTATTCGATACCAGTCCTGAGCATTTGGGAGCACAACAGAGACCGTCCTGTTTCCTCACGGAAGAAAAATCATGCAAGGTTTCAAATCCAGCTGCAATTAAATCATTTGGATCTCAAATCTGATGCTGGCCCTTCTGTCTACATCTCTGCTCTTTACCTTGCCCCCATCCTGCAGGGAAACATGCAATAATTGCACAGCAGATTACATTTTTTTTGGCTTTTTTTTTTTTTTTTTTTAAGAGCATGACATGGTCATTATTAATGTGGCCTGGTATTAGTCTGTTTTTCTTTTCATCTTTATCAGACATCTATCTCTCTCTCAGAGGTCTTGTTTACATAAAACAGTGCACTTGGATGCATGGTGCTTAATGAGTTTCTGTATAACCAGAACAGAGTGAGCAAAGTATGCCACTCTTTCTAATTATGAATCATTTGACTGCATTAAGAGAAAGAAAACTTGAAGAAATGATGCCGGAAAGCTTCTTACCATGTTTTTTTTTTATTTATTGCTAAAAAGAACGGCCATAAATTATGAGTTAGGACAATGCTGCTTTGGCTCCAAGCAGAAGCAGTAGGAAGAGAAAAACCCCCAACTGTGCTCGTATTTCATGCTCCAGGATCAGTGAGTGCTTCCTTCCTACATCCAGAAGGCTCTGCCAAGGATGGTATAATAAAATCAGTCCAACTCTGGTCTGGGTGGGTCTGTCTGAACTGGGGATGCTGAGAACACTTCCCAGCTACAGCCACACATTTTCTCTTGGATGCTGATGGCCTTGGGTGCACACAGTCGGTCTGATACCCCCTGATTTCCACTGGACAAAAACTTAGGCATCAGGGCAGCGATGGAGTCGTGCCGTGCCCGTGCTCCGGCCCGCAGCACCCAGGCATCCTTTGCAGCTCAACAGCCCTGGGCATTTCACCACAAACTCCTAGAAGTAGGAAGATTCTCACATTTTGAATTGTAAAATTGCCTGCTTGGTAAGATTTTCCTCCCTCCAGTGGCATTTCCTGTTAAAATCAAAGCCTTGGCTAGAACAAGGTAGATAAAATACCCTAGCTTCCCGCTTGGCTTGTGGAGCATGCTGCATTTGCTGTGAGGTAGGACCATGGGGAAAATCACAAGGCACAAAGTGCAAGAGCTCTGAGGTAAGAGATGTGTTATAAAGTGTCAGAACAAACAAGGGTTATAGCAGAGAAAGAGTTAAGCCAGTCATGGTAAAGAAAGAAAATGCTGAGAGCTTTAGGAAATCTCTCTGGCTCTGCTTATAGGTGTAATTTGGCCAGGACATTGTTGTTGATCGCAGGCTGAGGAGACATCTTTTAATGTTAATTATTTGGGGGTTTGTCTACATGCATCATCTTTTTTGGATTTAAAAGGTCACCTTTATATTTAATTATATCCAATTTATTTCCCTGGATAAAGACTGATACTATGCAAGCATGCGGGATTACAAATCGTGATACACACTTGAGAAAACTTTGCTCGAGAAATGCCACTTGGAGGGCTTGGAGTTCTTCAGGACATCGGTCCAAGAGCTTGGGAAAACAAAAGCCTGCAGAAAGTCTCAGTTGGTGTGGGGAATATGATAAAAAGAAGCAAAGGGTCCAGGAAAAGAAAATTAAGTATTCCAAAAGTCCGAAGAGTTTCAGAAAACCAAAGCAGAAGAGGAAACAAATAATAGTAAACCATAAAAAGATCACCTTTTTTCTCTTTTTTTAGCATATAGAAAGACTTATTTTGATGTTTATGGAGCAAGAAGAGGCAGGATCCTTCTTTTATTTAGCTTATGGTTGAATTCAGAAGCAACTGCAAGAGAAAGCCCAAGTGTGTTGGGTGTTTCACATGTTCATCTTACACTGAAATGCTCCCGAGCAGTACGCTGTTCCCTTTCAGTGCAGCAAAAAAATCCCAGGCCTTCTAGTCAGATAGGCTATTTATTTCTGCAACAGTCTGCTTATGGTGAATCTGCTCCCACAGGCTTCATGCAACCCCTTCCTTAAGACTATTTCCTATAGCTCCATAATCCACAACGCTGTTCCACATAATAACAGGCTAATCACTGCCCTACTTTTAAAAATGCAAAATATTTTTGACATGCTGCATAATGGTACTTCCCAAACAGCCCATAAACCTGTCCAGAGGATTCCTCCTTCATTTCCTTGCTTTGCTGTTATCTTTCTCAGCATCTTGTCTTGTAGAGTTCAATTTAGATTGCGATGTCTTTGGGCCAGAGGCCACGTAAATCACCTGTGGCTCCACACAAATATTAAGTAACAGCAGAGCCTGACTTTGGAGCCATAAAATGCTTTCCAGACTTGAAATCCTAGAAGTCCTCTCAGACTCCCAGGCAGTCTGAGGTGGGTGACAAACACAGTACTCCACAGGCAATCAAATAAGTGAGAAGAGAAGCTGAGGGAGAAGGGAAATTTTTCCAGAGCCTTCCTGAGCGTTTTCACTCCATTGCATGAGTCTTCAAGCTACAAATTCAGGTTCCTGATTGCACAGGTTTGTATCAGTAACTCAATTCCTAGCTTCTTTTTGAAACCAAAACTTTAAATCCTGGTTCTGTTTAAGATAATTTGGCAAGCTTTGCATCTAAGACATGTGGTACTCTCACAAATGTTTACCACTGGGGGCTTTGCTATCAAAATTAAGTGCTCACACACTGACCTCAGCATCCTTTTGGCAGTTGCCTTCCTTCACAGTATTAGGGGCTGCAGGAGGTCCACACTTACCTGATAAAATTATACATTACATAGCAAGAAGTGCCAAGAGTCCGAATTTTGCCAGTGTCTTCAAAAAGCTGTGGCAAGGAGAAGCAGCCTGAAGCAAGGGATGTGTGATTCAAGTACACAATAAAAGTGTTGAGATCTTAAGGACAAGGGAAATTACTTAACCGCTCACTTCACCATGTGATATCCCAGTGCCCAATCACATGAAAAGGTACAGGTAAAGAGGAGGAATAAAAGCTCATTCCGTCCTGAGCAAAACATGTCTGGGAAAAACCTTTCTGGGTCACCCAGGCACCTCTCTTAACCAAAAGGCAAGGGAAGCTCGCTGTAGGAACTCCAGAGGGCATAAGAGCCATAAAAGAAATTACAGAAGTTAGTTTTCAGGCAGACTCGTGCTGCAGTGCGTGGAATAACGCTTCCCTTTGATCGGCTTCATCCAAAGAAACTCCCTGGCACGAAACAAAGGCGGCATTCAGGGATGTCTCCCTGGTCCACGTCAGGATGCGGTGGTTGCCTGCAGCGGCGGTGCGAACCAAAGCCTCCTGATCCTGCTCTGTCAGCTTCACGTCCAATTTTTGCTATCTGCGAATGAAACGTAAGGATGAGGTTTGGAGTCTTGCTCCTAGTTGTTTGTTTGTTTTGTGTTTGTGTTGTTTTTTTCCCCTCTCTCCAGTCGTAGAGTAAGAGAGTTGGCAACACCCAAAGCGTGAGTCATGTACACGTACCAGCAGCAAACAGCCATTGTTCCAAGCTGTCCTAGGGACGTGGATTGCAAAGTCCAGATTTGGCTCTGGATTTATTTTTTTTCCCCCCAAATCAGAGCTTTTCAGATGCAGAGCTTAGTTTGGTTGGACACTTATGTAAGGGAGGTTGGTCCTAGTACACCACAAAGGCCTCCTGCCCTGCCCAGAGGAGAATCCTACCCTTCAAATTGCAGCACGCAGGAAACAAGGGGAAGAGAACGGAGACACGCGTGGCCAAATCCCCCTCATTTTGCCTTGGGGGGTTGCACATGTGCAAACTGTTCCGTCCTCATTGTGTGCTGTACCACTTCAGCACCGAAGTCTGTTTTCCTGTGACTTTTTACTGGCATGCTAGGCACCGAAAGCTGATGCAACAGAACGGGAATAGGGAACAGGTAATTTGCATCCTTCTGTTTAGGAGCAAGCAGCTTATTAATAATGTGGCTTCCAGGCTCAGCCCTTTGTCTATTGCAGCTCTGCTTTATCCAGTCTTACCCCACGTAAAACGCTTCATTAACACGTGGTTAGGTTTATCAGCACTCACTGCACAGATACAAATCAAACAGTTGGGTCTTTGCATAGCAGGGAGCCCGGCTCCCCTCTACAACTCCTAAACTCCAGGCTGTGAGGTGAAGTCACCTACTCACCCCAAACACGTTCAGATATTCCCATATAAAAAGCACTCCTACTACAGGAAATAAGCCATAGTACACCAGTAGCGTGTTGTACAGGCTCTCCCAGTATGAGATAACGGGGAAATATAGACGTGAATGTTATTTTTCTTAGCACTTTGAAGTTGCTGTGGGTATCTGGTTTGTATAACGATGCCCTCCTAATGACAGTGGACACAGGACGAGTCTCAGGTACCAGGACATACCGAGTAAGAGATGCATGCGAACGGTGCTCCCAGGGGCGAGCACCACAGCTCCTTCTGCTCCACAGCTCCTGCAAGAAACTGCAATTTTGATCTGCTCTGAAGAGCTGATATGGTGCCTGGCTGTCTTTGTTGTAAGAGTCTGGGAATTTCCTGCAAAGCATGTAATATGCTTGAGGCATCAAGTTTTTAGCATTTATTTGCCAAAAAAAAGGGTGTATTATTTGGCATTTTTCCATGGTGACTTAATTCAAGGGCTATGAACAAAATGGAAATGGAAAACACCTTTCAGTTACAAAACGCCACTCGCATGCACTCCGAATCCTGATAGCTTAAGCCACAATAAGCACCGTAAGAACCAAGGTGAAACCCCGGAGAAATTCATAGCAGTTAACTGTTAGCATCATTAACAGCAGAGCCCTTCAGTTCAGTGGCTGATGGAGTGGGGTCAGCGCGAAAAATATTGGCGCTTGTCCCCACTCCGGGATCCTGGGGTGAATAACATCCCTGCGCCTCCTCCCAGCTTCCCCACCACGAGGAGATGAAACTTAACCTACCCTGTGGTCAGAGATGGGGCAGGATTTAATACAGAACACTGCAGTCTCACTTTCCCTCAAGTCCTTAAAGTTTCTTATTGCCTTTTCTGGAGTTATGGGATTCTGTAAAAAGTCTTCCTTTGCTTAAAATAGGTTTCAGCCTTTCTTCATTATGAAGTGTGATGCCACAAGCCTTGAGTTTCCAGGAAGGCGACAGAGAGGTGGCCGCGTTATCAATAACCTAATCTGATTTAAGAGCTTGCCTTGCTTTGAACGTGGAGATTGCAATACCCCATACAGGAAAAGTAGTTTTGAGATACCTAAATGAAACACTACAGAACCAGGTCTTTCAGATTTATTTTTTTTTGTCTGTTTGTGATTTCTTTGTGTTGAACTCTCCATATCCCAAACTACCATGAGGGGCAGCTGCTGAGTGCTTTTTTGTTTTATGGGTTTGGTTTTTTTCCCCCTTTCCTCATAGTTCTTTAAGCAGACTCCACAGAAATAGAGGCACTATCATCACTAGTGATTTTGATAAATGTCTCGGTTCTGACCTCAATTCATCATTTAACAGGCCTAAGGAGTTGCTAACCCAAATCTTAAGCTACCAGGATAACTTCAAGACCACCTCCAGTTTGGTACAGAGCCACCTGTCCAAGTCAGGACAGGCACAAAAAACTTTTTTTTTTTTCTTTTTTTCTTTGAAGAAGTGCCCCATTGTGGAGAACAGGATGGTCCTATAACACTCATGCCCTGGAAGATACTGAATCCTCTTGCCTCTGCCTGCCTCGCTTCTCAGATTGGGATTTCCTGCAAGGAATGGTGAAACCCGCTGGTTGCTCAAGTCAACTACTTGGTCTGAAGAACTTCTGCAGACAGATTTTTATGTCTGAAACAATCCAGCTATGGGCACATCTTTCAGTGTCATGAGATAGATACGAGGCCAGGAGGGCGCTCAGGAGTTGATCACACAGTAATCAACTTCTTGGAGAGCCGGGATTTATCGCAGCCATTGCCAGCATTCATTTCAGACTGATCCTTTAATGCAAACGTTGGCTGCAGATTTCCTTGAGGACATTTGTAGGATTACAAGTTTACATGCAGAGATAGCGAGACCGATTGTTAGATAGCAAACAAGGGACGAGTGTCCTCAGACTTTCTACGAAATAATGCTCTTCCAGTCACTATCTGATTAGCTCCAAATCTTCATATAACGCAAACGATAGCATCCCATCTTACTCAACAAGCATTTCAAAGCCTAGGTCGCTACACAGCTCTGCAGCAAAATGCTACAGATTTTTAAATAAACTCTTAAATTGCTGTTGTCATTGTCTTGACTTTCATTGTGTTGAATTTCATACAGCCAGCTGATGTTCAAATGTGTTTTGTGATTTCAATCTTCTCCCTTAGGCTTACCCACAAAACTCTACCACATACTTATTCAGCAAATTAACTAAATTATTTCCTTCCCGAAGAAAAGCTTAGATCTTCATGGGGAAGGCTGATGGGTTTTGGCAGAAAAGTCTGGAATTATAGAGTCACTGACTAACTGTAAATCAGCTACAACCACGGATCAAGGAAGTGTGGATTCAAAGAAGGCCATAGTGAGACAAATCCTGACTTTGTTCGTGATCTGTAACTTCATTGACATCAGCTGAACTACTCCAAGTTAGTGAAATTCAGCTCCAACTTCTTCAAATTCTCAGGCCCACAGTACGCCAAGTTATACATATCCCTCACAGAAACTTTCTTTTCACCACAGCCAATCCACTTGGCCAGATTGCTCCTTTTCACATCCATTAAATGTACTGATTATAAGCAATATACATTAAATAACCTGTAAGTTACAATTCTGATTAGGGCCTTTTCCTAGGCCTGATGTCACTGTCAGTCCCATTTACACAACCTCAGCTGGATAACCCCGTCCTGAGTCCTCTAACCATTGACCCATACGGCCTTCAAGTCAAAGGTGTGGAGCCTCTGCAGCAAGGATGCCCTTTCCCGGCCAGCCCCCCGTCCCCTTTTCCTCCAGCTCTGGATATGCCCAACAGGACTATAAGGCACCCAGCTGACCGAGAGGATTACCCTTCTTTTAGCAGCAGCAGGAGCTATCTCGTGGCCATCCATCCGTCGCACGCAGGAAAGGGAAGATGGATGGCCTCGCTGGGGATCACAAAGCCCGTGCAATCCCACACAGCACACATCTCAGCGCTCTGTTTCAGAGGCTCTTGGCTGCAGGTCCGTGCTTTGACCATAAATTTCAGCACCTACCCCTCACCGAACCTACATAGCTCCTGGGTGGCCTTTTTGACAGACACTGGAGGCTGTCCCACACCACATAACCCAGCAGAGAGACCATCCGTGGCAGAGCTTGGGTTGGAGATGAAGGGTCTCTGTTCCCTTCATTCATAACAGAGAAATTCGAGCAGGAGCTGGATCCTGTCAAGCGCTTCCTGTCCCGTGCACACCCTCGTCAAAGAGCTCTTTGGAGAATACAGAAAGAGGATTAATGCTAATAGGTATCTATTTTAGAAGGAGTCACCGTGGGACTGCATTCCCTCAGCGATAGTAACATGGCACTAACCCCACAGTCCTCCTTACACAGCACCTGTGCTTGGACTTGCACCTGTATAACAGACACTACATTTCTTGGACCATTGGTCAAGCCCCAACGAAGTGCCCAATCTTAACCCCAAAGGAACCTTTAAGAGGAGCAACTTGTGATCCTCAGGAGCTCTGTTTTACTTAAATGAAATCACCAGAGCAATAGCAGAGCCCTTGGATACATCGCATGTAATTCTTGGAACAGGGCAGCACAGGAAGACACAAGGTGTAAGGAGTTGAGAAGAAGACCAAGAGCTCACCAGCTGATCACACCCATTAACACTCAGCTCTCAAAGAACAAGGCGGGCTTCCAAAATCCCCATGGATTACTGACAATGCACAAGGGAAGGCCACCCATTTTCAATGCCTTGAATTCTTCTTTGCTTTGGCAACGGGACAACTGTCAGGACATTCATGCTGAACCTCTTTGAAGAATACCCTAAGGACTCAAAGATGAGTTCCTTTGGCTCCAGGGACAATTCTCCTACACCAGTACCCAGCAGTCTCTCACCCTCAGCTTCCTTCCTTCCCCTACATTCCTAGCTCACCTCCTGCACCTCCTCCAGCTATCCTAAAGAAGCAGCCTCCCAAAACCTATGTGAGGTGTGAAATTTGACTTCAGATCCCCCCCACTGACAAACTCCACAAGTCAGGAGACCAGCCCATGTACCCAACACCTACTCTTCATTTGACACACTTCTGCCCTTTTTGTGACATAACTAACACTAGGTTTGGTATGACACCAGCAGCAAACACACCACTTCTCTTGATTCCATTATTTTTTTTTTCTTTTATTATTTTTCAGACCTCGAAAAATGCAATTTTTTTTTCCTTCTCCCTTGGGTGACATGCTCTTTGCAAGCCACATAAAGGCCTACAAGATACTTGCCAGCAAGCGGGAAGCAGAACGTGTTTTAGGATAGAGAAATCGCCAGGCACTGAGGTTTGGTGCTCTTCCTACTCGGTTAGCAACTTCTCTATCTTCTGCAGATTAAGCTTTGTTTATATTTACATGTGCTTCAGCAAAGAAAATCAGGGTTTTTTTTTTTTCCTTTTTCACACTAAATGAGCATTTCTATAAAGCCCAACACCAACCAGACTAGGCATCAGTCATGGATATATTTAAGACGCTGTCAAAAATAGACATTGTACAAAGTATTCCAATGGAGCGTGGGGAAAGGACGTGCCTGAACCCTAACTGTGAAGGGAAAAAGAAAGCGGACTATTCCAGCTGTTTCTGTAAAAACAAAAAACTGCAGAGAGTAGAGAAACTGGCCAGGCTTGTAGCTGTGAAGGCCAGCATTCCCTGCCAGCCCCAGGCCGACAGGCTGTTACTCTTTAATGGCTTCATGCCCTCTAATTAAGTTTTCCAAGTACAAGCCTTTTGAACAAATGTTTACATTTGTCTTGTTAATTCCCTTTACTTAATAATCAGAGGCCCCTGCAGTTACCTCGACACGGGGAAGATAAACCAAAGACATGATCATATCAGGGGGTTGACATTTAAATACCTGATTTGCACGAACATAGCAGAAGTGAACACCTGCAGACATAAAAAATGGATGAGCAAAACTGACAGTGCACATTTAGACTCCAAGTCTGAAAATACAACTGGGGGGATCATAAGCTAAGGTATGAGACGGTCTCACTAAACACCTTGTTTAGAGCTTTTTAAAAATACCTTGCCTGATTTTTTTCTTTAAAAACAGAGTTCCCCAGAAAAGGGGGAAAGATGCCTTTTACTTATGACATATCGGACTCAGTCATTTGTTGTCTGTGCTGCTCTCCTCTGGAGAAGTCATTAAATCTCATTTGGGCTACATTCTCTCAGCTAAATGGGGGTAAATAGCACTTCCCTATGTCACCAGAGTGCTGTAAAGGAGTAGGCCCTTGAACAGTTTCGAGCCAGGCAGAGCTGTGATGGTTTAACTACAGAAGTGCCTGGACAGCTGGACAACTGAGCTAGAGGCAGGAGAGGCAAACAGATTAGAAAAGATAAGCAGAAAATAACTTGTCCTTCATAACTTATCTATCCTGAGAGGTAGCACTGAAATCTAGGCCTCTAAGAAAAGGAGCACAGAGCTACAGAAAAACGCGTAGTTGTGTGGGAATCAGTAACATTGGTTTGCTAAATTTTTTTTTTGTTTGTGGGTTCCTGTGATGGGAAACACCATAAAACAAACAAAAAAAAATCATTGCTGCTCCTACTTTGAAGGAAAAACCCCCAAGATAAAAGCCAAGGAGAAAGACAAAAGAGGCTAAGGGGGATGGAAAATGTGTCGTGCCTTCTCATGCAAGAGTTGAGGCTATGGATCAGCAGAGCCACGAGGTGGTTGCTCGGAGGGTTGTAGCGTGGCAGATGTGGCAACCACCAGTTCAACCAAGGGCTTCCAGGCCAACAAACACAGTGTCAAAGCTCATTTTGTACTTCCCAGGGGCTAACAGGAGCATCACACGACCCCACCAGGCAGTTATCAGCAATGTGAGAGGCTCTCAGCTCGCCACTCAGCAGCAGGAGGGTCCCAGTTCTCCCCCACAGCAGGCATACCTTCACCCCGAGCCTACGAGGTATTCTCCTCCCAAGCACCGTGCCCACCTGTAGTTTAACTTGCAATGGGCGCTGAGGTTTTTCCTCCCTCCTATCTTATATACCACATACCTGCCTAGAGCAACATTTTATGGACAGATATAAAACTGAGATAATGAAGGTTCACTGCAAAAGTGCTGGCACAACTGTTATGAACGTGGGACAAGCTGGCGCCTCCGTAATTAAGTAGATCTTTAAATGGGCAGCTGCTTGCTCAGTAGGATGACCATCTGAGTACAAGGTGCGTAGGTCATTTCTCAACACCTCATGCTACCACCTTATCCGGCCAGCTCTCACCAAATGCTAATGGCCACAGGAACTGCTTTTTGCGGTAGCAAAATGCTGCTGTTCTTATGCCACCCTCACTTGCTTCATGCCAGGAGCCACATGCCAAGCTGCTAGAAGCAGCCCTATCAGTCCTCGGCACTAGAATCATGAAATTTGGTGAGTCCCTCCTCTAATGACAACCTGTTGCAGCTCTGGGAAGCCACACCTACATGTTTTCTGCTCTTTCTCCAAGGGACCTGCTTTTACCTTCTTAAGGCAGCTTTTCTTGATTCTGGTGCTTCCACCCATGGCAGCTCGGCTGTGCTCCCTTAGCTAGGTGTGACATATCAGGTACCCAAGCAGCTCACCAGCCAATTCCTTTAGCTTTTTGATACAAGAACTGAAGGACAATATTTAAAGTGGTCTACCTCAGAGGAAAATACAGATCCTTAAGTGTTGTGAAACAGCTGATACGAAAATAAACTCCTAAGATACTGATACTAACTGGCATCACTGAATTCTCTTTTTAAGACACATGTGCACACTTCATCTACCTCTGCAGGTGGGAAGCTATATGCTCGCTGCATGGCTCTGTCCTTGCTCTCTCCAAATATAATCAAACTCACTTTCTTCACACACATTCAGCCTTTTGCCAGGTAGGTGCTCTGTGCTCTAGGGGCTCAAACACCCAATGTCTTAAGACGTGATTTATTTATTTCAAATGCCACTGCTTATTTCTTCTTGATGAGCTCTCCCCTCTTCCCTGTTTTGGCATTGCCCCTTATTACAGAGACTTTGAGAAGTAGCTTATCTTGCATCTTTCTTTCTTGCTTATTTCTCTCCATCCCTCTGTATTAAATTAAACAATATCATTATGCAGTAAACAGCCCAATAACCCAAGTCAGCATATGGTATTCATAAGCTGTTACTGTGCAGCTCTAAATCTGTCACAGCCCCCATTAAGTACCTTGGGCTGTGCAGCAAAGATACAACTTCAACCGCAGCAGAAAAGCCACCCTCCCCAGGCAGAATGAAGATCCAAAAATCACTGGCCTGGCCTTCACAGTGGTTGATCCCGATGCTTTGGAACAGGAGCACTCAGAGTACAACACAAATGCTGCTGCCAGACCAATGCACCTGCCCCAAAGCCTGCTCTTGACACTCCCCCATCCCAAGAGCACACAAACCATTTCATTACCAAACTTCAGATGAAGGAATCATCTCATCAACATGACCATCGAGCCTGGTGGCTCAGTTAGTTGTATATGCACAGACAGTGGCAAAGACAGCAAAAAAAGAAGCACAATACACTCCTCCGATGTGCTTGGTGGTGCTCTACAGGTAACTTCTGGAGCTGTATTAACATATGACCTACATTTTAAAATTAATTTTGTTCTTAAGTTAGGTGTTCGGGTTTTATTTTTACTCCTGCAGGCAATCGGTGCTATTGTATGTGTATTAATACATCAGCTCCACCAGGCGTTTCCCCTCCCCTCCAGTGTGTGGAAGGGAGGTTGAAGCAGCAAGGGGAGGGTCTCCTCATAATCAAGGTCCAAGCATTGCTGACGCTCCCGTTCTGCACACTGCAACACCTCTGTCAGCAAAACAGCACCAGCAACTGATGAGTGTTCACGCGGGACCACTCAAAGCTCTAAGGACAAAGAATTACCTCTGTTGGAAATGGAGGAGGAGGAAGCAACTAAATGAGAAGGCAGAGCCGGTTAAGATTTGCAAGAAAGAAATTATAAAAGGCTATAAAAAAATCAAAAGGAGAAAAGGAAAAATAAGATGATCAGAGCTGGAGGAGGGTTAGGAGAATTAAAGGTTTATACAAACATTTGAAGGGTAAAGCACAAATTTTGAGAGCAAGGGGAGTTGATATGAAAATATAATGTAGTTTTGAAATTGCCTAATAAGCAGAAACTTTCAAAAAGTGGGATGTGGTATTTGATTTCTGCTCCTTCCTTTTACAGGTAAGGTTATGTATGGGAATGCTGCAGGCTGGGATGATAATGGGTGCAGGGAATTATGACACGTGGGCAATTAAGCAACTTCTGAGAAAGACTTTAAAAGGTGGTTGGGAAGTGAGAAAACACAAGGAGAAAAAACAGATACGCTGAGCTTCAAGCAAGGAGTGAGTGATTGCAGCAATTGTCACCCGGCAGACCACTTAAAAATTACTTGGTAATTTCAGACACCAAGGAAATCAGAGGAATTAGTACCGAGTCCCTCGTGTTAAAGGTGAAATCTGTTATTTGAAAGACTTCTGTGTGTACTTGCGGCACACAGTCTGGGGCCAGCTGTCAGAGGCTGCATCATACCCTCTGAATCAGTACTTCAGAGGAGGACACTGCAGAGGCTAACAGACTGAAATCGGATACTTACACAAGAATTAAATCTCTTAGCTGGAGAGACTCCCCCTTCCCTATCTGGGAAATTTTGTTCAATCTACTTCATTTCACAGCATCTTTTGCATCTGTTACCTGCAACCAGTTTCAGAGAGCTCGTATCATTTCAACTACCAAATGGGTAGTAAAATATTGTTTTCCTTTTTGTTTGGTAGTGGTTTGGAGCAGAAGCTGTCCAGTTACTGTGCCTAATCCAGTGAGCCCTGGCCAATACAAGTAACCCCTAGCTCCTGGCTGAACTAGCCCTTCAGGGAGCTCATCACCTGCCCAGACGTGTACTACTCTCAATTAAAGATATTCTGTGGATCCCTCCTAAATCATTCCCTAGCCAGAGACAGGAAGGAACATCATGCAGCTCCCATCAGGCAACCCACAGGGATGCACACACTCCATCAACCAGCACCACGTGTGCCCCTCACACAGCAGGACTGGGTTCCCTTGCTCGTGCGCTGGGATGGGAGAGGATTTGCATAATTAAGGCTGGAGTACCAGGGAGCAGATAAGCAGGACCAGGGGACTGCTGGACAGGGAACTCTAGCAAGTCATACCCACCCCACAAGCCCTGGGACACTACCTTCAGTCTGCACAATATCCTGTGCAAGGTGGGATGCCCTCTTGACCTACATGGCAGAACTGTTTGTCATCTTCATTCTTTTCTTGCCCTTCTGTCCACCCCCATAAAGCTCAAATAATATCCATGCTTTCCACACTATTCATGGAAACTGTGGATATTCTTTAATTTCCTTTTTTTTTTTCTTAGTTTGGATAACTCCAAGATAAATTTAACAAGAAACTCCTTCCGTAATGCCCTCAGGAGAAAAAAAAAGAAAAGTGAGGTTTAAACGCAAATGAAAGATGACAGCTAAATCTTTAAAATCATAGAAACACTAATCTCTGTTAACTACAGTATCTGCAAATCACATGAGTTCACTGATCAGAGCGTGCTATTTGTCCTTCTAGGTAAAGAGACGCGTTTTGAAAAGCTCCAGTGTGAGCCAGTGGTATTGTACTTCCTGAAAATAATTAAAATGATAACTGTAATCACTACCAAGAAATACTTACAATTTAATTAAAGGCAAGGATTCTTTGTCAGTGCCTAACTAGAGCTCTCAATGGATGTGATTTTTCAGAAACACTGTCATTCCAGAGGGAAAAAAGTAATTTTGGTCTTTTTCCTTGCTAAGTTACCAATTCATGAGAAAAGATGATAATATACGAGCATATCTAGTTCTCAGAGGGATTTTTAGGTCATCAAATCCAGTCCCTTGTTCCAGAAAGGAGACACATCATGTAACCTTTTTTTTTTTTTAAATAAGCACGTACCCAAACCAGTGCTGGCTGCAGTGGTGTCCTTCAGCAGTACTGGAGGAGACGTGTGCTGGTCAGTGGTGGGTCACAGGGTCAGCTTCTGTAAACACCTAGTCCCACAAAAGCAAGCAGCTGGAGCTTGAGCAGCTTGACTCTGGAAGCACTCCTGGAAAGGTTAGACACAGATGCCTCTCTCTTCTTTTAAATGTCATGCTCAGCAATGCAAACCAAAACAAGGAACGCTCCCACTCGCACCCATTATCGTCAGCAGCGCTTGTCAAAAGATGATCAGTATCATTCATGTATGGGAAACCAAATGAGCATTAAACAAATTCAAGCTTCAGGGCTCTTCTTTTGCGAGATATCATCAGATATTAGCCACCATTTCTTGCCTCATCACATGCTGATCCCTTCAGTAATCAGGATTTTAATTACACAGATCTGTCTCTGGGTATTTTTCTAGTATAACTACTAAGAGACACAAGTGTACTGAACTTGTGGCTATAGAAGAGATGTGCATTACAGACAAAATCCAAAAGTTTGGGTGTGCAGAGATCTATGGCTTTATATCAGGCTGTTTAAGGATTCGGTTTTGTGGCTTTTTTTTTTTTCAACTCTGACCCTCGGAGTTTGATAATGAGATACGTATGCATATATCTGCATACGCAGACATTTGCCAGCATGATGTGAGAGATGTTCACACTGGGAGTTTGCAAAGTGCTGGCTCTTGCCTTTGAAAACTTGTTGCAGGGAAACCTGACAGAGCATCTGACCTGTGACCTTCAACTCAGATCAGGATAACTTCAAGCAGCTCTGAAGCCTGGTTACTTCTGCCAAACACTCCGCTTTGATTGCTTAATAACCCCTGTCTGGTAAGCCTTCACAGCCTGAACCAGAAAGACCCCCAGGTCCAGGCCCTCTCAGCATTTCCCCATTCCTGCCCCTGGTCTCAAACACAACCAAAAAGAGCCTGATGCTCTAAAGATCAAAACTATGGATAAGCTCAGCTCTGTTTCAGGGGAAGCAGAGGCAAGGCTTTAACCTTGTCCAAGCACAAGGATTTTGCAAATCTCCCTACAGGGCCCATGTTCCCATCTTTTCAAGGTGGAATGGTTTTGCAGTGACACGTGGACAGCAGCTACTTTCACATTAAACATCCTGTTCAGTTGCATTAATTTTTGTACTTACTACAGAAAGAAACAAAATAGTGTTGGCTAAGGCTGGAGACGAAGTGATTTCAGCCCCTGAGACACAGAAGACTTATTAGCATCCTACCTGAGCATCTGACATCACCCCGTGATGAGAAAAGCTTGGAGCAGATGGCTCCCAAGACAAGAGCTGGACTCACAATGACCCAATACAGGAAAACGTGATCGGACACCAGCCTCAAGCCCTTCCTGCTGCAGAAAAATTAGTTCACAGTTTAACTTCTTTATTAGCCAGCTTTTACTACCACTTGAAGGCAATATATGGATTAAATTAAGATCCTTAACAAGATAGTTAAACATTACCAAAGCCCTGGAACTGAATTAAGATTCAAAGATAGATTCAAGGGATGCGGGGAGGAAGAGGCAGACAATGATGCTTAGTAGAGATAAATTTCCACAGAGGCAACTGAGGAGCAGAGCTGGCCACCTTCCATTTTTGTTAAATAACTCGAGAGGAAGCATGCTGTGACATAGGGAAACTAGAAAATCCCAAACCTTTTCGTTGCTATTCACGATTTATGCTTTTTAGTTCCATTATTTCTCTCTTCTCCTCAAAGTGCAAGGCCCTCTCTTTCAGCAGTTTCACAAACGAGTTTTGCCTTAATATCTTTAGGATGGGTGTCACAGATGTGGCAATGCCCATAACTCAAAAGTTTTTCCAGAGGATGTAGGCTTACAGTCTAGGTACTCGGAAGATCTCCGAATAGCCTGTCTCTGCATTCACTATAGGGAGATTATGCCCCTAATTCACCGGGCTTTCAATGTCTGAAGCCAGCTGATGCAAAGCCTTCCCACTGTGACACCGCTCCTGTTCCCCTTAGAGCATCCCGCGTGCAGCGCTCAGAGTTGGAGGTCACGGGGAAGACCTTCAGTTCGCATCCAAAGACATGATTTAAAGCATCGTTGAGCACTTGCCAACTCCGATCTCTGAAGGCAAAGCAGAGAGACTGCTGGAGATCATTCAAAGACAAAATTATAGAAGTCTTTCACGGTGACATGGTGCTGATGCAACCGCATCTTCCAAAACGGAGCGAGTGATGCCTCCACTTTCATATCACTAGAGCCACGTGGTGAGCAATGCAGACAACACCAAAGCCAACTCTTCTGCAGCAGACAGGCTCGGGTTGCTTTTAATTTTAATTTTTGGGTTGCTTTTAATTTGTATAATATACAGCTTGCCCTAATTTATACACACTGCAGCATTAGACGATTAGACATGCTGAAGTATTATTATTCGCCTGATTCACAGCGGAGCATCCTCGGTCCCCGCTCCCCTTCTGTCCTCTAAGTGTGGACCATTATCCTCATTTTTGCAACTCATATAGAATAGGTGTCCTGCAACTATATGTCCATTCCTCTCTTGTTTTAATCACTGTATTTTCTAAACTAAACCTACTGTTCTCAACTATCTTAATTATTGGCAAATTTCTGCCTGCCTAGGACGCTTGTTTCAATCACTTCTCCCCTATTTTCATGTTTTTGTTGGGGAAGGAAAGACTCTCAATTACTTGATTAAAATCAAACTTAAAGTCAAACTTAAGTAGTCAAAACTTAGGTATATTATAGGATTATGATCTTCTCATTTTCAAAAATTACTAATCTTTTCCAGAAAGTGTCAAAAAGCAGAAGAAAGGCAGCTGGAGAAAAAGTGTTTGCAGCTGCTTTATAAAGCAACCCTACTACGAGGTTTACAACTTTTTCCCAAGACAGAAACAGTGCTTTCCCCATGACCTCAAGTAAAATGAATATAACGCACGGATCACCACCAGTAATGCGTGTGCAGCCAGACACTTGTAAAATGTTGGTAAACTTTGCCAGAGACAGCACATGCAAGCAGCACAAAACACAGCAGCATACTGAAATGCAGTACATATGGGATGCTTGAGAACGTGCACAGGAAAATTTTTCTTTCCTGACATTATTTTGAGTGGTATGCTACTTTATGGTAAAGAGTATCCCATACTCGTGCCAACAAATCGGGTCATGTGTTTATGTATTCCTATTTATTCACAATATCAGATGTTTGAGAGACTTTAAATTGCTTGCTGCGACTATTATTGTGTGTGTCTAAACCTACCCTGCATTAGTTACCATTAATCCTGCTGTGTAGCTCCCAAATGGGGAGAAAAATAACCCCTTTTTTTTTGAAAAATGCCTAAAAATGACACTACTTTCACATCCATCATCGTACTCCTGCCTAGCCCTAAGGACTTCTTGTGTAATCCTTTGAGAAACTTGGAATATCTGTCACTAATAGGAGAAATATCCTATTTAGATCTACATGCTTGAGATACTTCAGATCTAGTTTTAGTTTATTCCTAAACATTTTCTGCACATCAGGCGTTTATAATTTTTGAAGAAGCAAGCAGGGAAGAAAGAAGGAAATAGGTGGCCAGCTAAACTGTAGCCTAAGTTATTCTCTGAAGATTTTTCATGTAAGTTCTGGTGAATTTATTAATAAGGTGGGGAAAAAAAAAGAAAAAATGTAGTTTATCACATGAAATTTACCATGCCAAACACTGGAATGGACTACTAAAACAAACCCCTAGCCTACAAATTTCCTGTTATCACTGAATATTATTATCTAGCAACTCCCTCATGCTGGGATGAGCATAATCTTCGTATGCTTTTTCTGCAGTGATCTATGCATTAAAGTACTATCACTTCTGAGGATCAGTATTCCTGGAACTAGACAGGCATGTTTCCAGATTGCCAAAAGTAGAACTAGAGAATAACTCAGCCTATCTGATCAAGGCAACAACTTCATGTTCTGCTCGGGATCCTTTCAAAAAAAATATATGGCTGGATTAAATTTTTGATCTATTTGGATAGTTCAGAGTTTTTCTGTCTTAAAGGGGGACTGAATGGCTCATGTCTGGCAAAAGCTGGTGAATTTGCTGCAACTGACCTTAATAATTCAGATCTTATTTCTTTACTCACTCTTCAGGCAGGACACGAGTACGGGGAGTTGAAATCTGCAAGGATTGCTTCTCAGAGCTGAACAGTTTTGTTGCTCTGAAGACCTATGCCATTTTTACTAGCACTTGCTCATTAGAAGTAGCACATTTGAGCAGAGATATGGCCACAAGGGTTAGATATCTCCACTCAAAAAAAAAAAAAAACACACAGAGAAGCTTTAACCATAGATTAAAATAGCCAACCTCAGGCAACAGCAAGGCTTAGGTGAGAAGAGTCAGGTGTATTGCAAGTACCTGAGAGGCATCAGCAGTTTCCTAGCAGCCTCCTGTGCCATTCCCAGTTCCTGGAGCTCAGCAGTGCCACCACTTCCAGCCCCTCAGAGGTGGGGAGGCAGGCAGCCCCTGCACTCTGCACCACGTCGGTGGGGAGCCCAGCAGGCTTCTGGTGCATCCGTGCTCTCGTTCCTTATGCGGACTTCCTGCAGCAGAAGGGAACAGGCTGTTCATCATTACAGTCAGCCACCATCTGTAGCTAAAACATCAGATGGCAAAAAAAAAAAATAGGAGAGGGGAGTTGCTAATCTCTTCCAACCCTATGTTTTCAACATGACTGAGGTGACTTTTGAGATGTGAAGTGAAGGGAAAGATAACTGGGGTAGAGCGAAACTTCAGTCTACAGAGTCAGGTGGCCAAATGAGTCCAATAGCTCATAGATGGCCTGTCTGTAGCAGGGCTGCTGCTAGAGCCTGTTCTTAAACACACCTTGAGAAACAAACATTAGATAAAGTCATGTTTGTCTATGACAGAAGTCACTGGCCAATGCAAAATATATTTCATACTAGCCAAATCCCAAAACAAAAATCCGCAGGCAAGAAAACAACATTATACAGAAGAGAATGAAACTAGTAGCCCAAACTGAAACACCATTTCCAAATCCTATATCATTGATGATCATGATGAACAAACGTGAAAAAACAAAAATCTGCTCCAGCCCAACAAATATAGATGTTTTTCTTGAGGATCTTCATGGCCCATTCATGAAATTAGGTAATTACCTTACAGGGTTAATAACAGAGTTTAAGCTTGGGACTATTTCAAACAAACTTCTTCCAAAAGGCCCAGAAAACAGAACAAACCTAGAAAAAAAATCCAAGATTGTGTACTTAATCCACAGCCTGTTTGAGTGGAAGCAATATGATTTGTGACTGGGACATGACCGGAGTCACTGAACACATCAGTGTTAACAGAACACTTCAGCTCCAAAATGAACTGGCAAGAAGATCACCAAGTATCCAGCAGCTTGAGCCTTGTATTCCTCAAACACTGCACCAAGTACTCAAGAAACTTAACCTGATTTGGATGAGCACATGTCAAGTCTTGTAATCTCTACCTGTTGGATAGCAGGTCAGTCTTCCATCAGTCACACACCTCTGAATATCCACAGGCACATTCATTCTCAGCTGGTGGAGCAGAGCACACGTGGCAGCCTGTTTACCTGTCACAGTAGCCTACTTTCCAAAATAGAATGTCCCCTAGTCAAAAAATAAAAGTAAACTTGAAGGAGTTAGGTCAACTCCAGTCTTAGAATGAACTGGGCAACTGGGAGGAGAGCACTGCTCATGAAACAGACACAACCTTCTGAGTATTTGATTTATTCCTTCATGCATTTCTTATTCTTTGGGTGTTATTTCTAGACCAGTATTAAATATCCTAGGCTATGTCTCCAGCACTTATTGGAGTTAATCCAACTTAGAGCTGTCTCTAGCACATCTATACCATGCTTCAGTATGGTATATATGAAAAACCCAGGGACAATGGGGCTTCCACATTCTCAGGAACGTAAGAGCAACTTAGGATGCACTTGAACCTGTTCAGGAAAACCATTCCACAAATGCTCTGGTTAGACTACAGGAAATCATGACTGTTGCTCTGTTATGCAATTTGGTCCATCTTCAATTTTATTCTTTTTTAATACTCTTCAATGAACTGCTAGATGTTTATCAACAATAAAAGGGAGAATCATTAGAATTCTGGTATAATTATTAGGATAATATATATGCAAAACTACAGATGAATGAAATAGAGAAGCTAACACTAAGCAGATACAGTACACAGAATCTAAAAATACCTCACTGCTGAACTGCAGAGGAGATGAATAGAGATAGACCTTTATACAGTATTTTGCTGGGGATAAATAATGCAATTAATCATGTGCATATGAGTTTGAAGGAGAGAAAGAATATTGTCCCTTCATGTTCTGTACACTGGAAGCCTTAGGTTAAATATCATTTCAAAGTGTTTCTTGGCTGAATCTAGTATTCCTCTCTTTTAAGGAAAGTTGCTGGATCCCACTTAAAAGACTGATAATCCGGCAAAGAGGAAGACCACATTACCACAAGTGACTAAGAAACCCTCTGACTATCAATTAGTAGACAACATCAACCAACAGGCCTGGCAAACTAAAAAAATGAGTTAGCATTATCCTATGGTAATTGCAGGATACGCTACTGTTTAAGTCACACGCTGAGCATGATAGATCAGTTCCCAGTAAGGAAAATCTCTTGGGTATGAACTCTAAAACCCTCACTCACCACAGCAAGAAGCTTCATGATCTGTCCCTTATACTGACATTATGCCTGAAGTTGGACTACAGCAAGGAGTGATTTTTCAGGTTGGCAACAAAAAGGGAAGGAGAGGATAGGGTTCTGACTGCATCCATTCAAAAGATTTAATTTATTTTCTCACAGTAGTGGGAGAAAAAATAAACATTTGGCTGGGCACTTAACTTTTTTTTTTTTTGTATGAAAATTTGTGAGTGCTCAAAGGGAAAGCAAATGAAGGGACAAACCCACCAAACTGCAGAAGGCCAGCAGCAGCTTCTGACCCACTTGGAAGTGGACAGAGCACTCACCTGGTTTCAAACCTCTTCCATGTCTGAGGGACAATGAATCCTTACCACATACCTCTCACAAGAACAAGCTGGGTTAATGGCACCTGGTGCTACAGGAGACAGGGACCCAGGGAGATGCTGCTGGGGGGCACTGCATTGTCCCATACCAATGAGGAACCACTTGGAGCAGAGAGGCAGAAGCCAGAACAACCCCGCTGTGCCCTACAAACAGGCTTGCAGGGTTCAGCAGGGGTGGTGACTGCCTCTGAAATACTTGGCTTTCGCCAAATTACTAGTCTCACATAAAATGCTTGGATAACAGTTGAGAAAACAATAGTAGGATCAGCAATTTTGTCCAAAATCACCAAGACCACGACTTTCTGAGAGCAGGCCTCCACTTGCCACTTACCCTCACTACCTTCCCCTCCCTTCACCCCCAACCCATCTACCCAAAAAGCCTATAGCCCTATATACAGCCCTATAACTTAACCTAATACATGGAAGAAAAACATAACTTGAGGAAAATACTCTTCCCTACATTTTCCTCAGCCTACTCTTGTTGGTCCCCTCTGTGAGGAGACGAGCAATTCATGGGCTAACTCATCCCACAGGACCAACACCACACACCTGCCCTCAGAAAGGTGCTGCCCACACTTCCATGAGCAAGCTGGCTGAAGGCTTGCCTACTTGCATGGTTGTCGCAGCCTCCTGAGGTCTTTTCCTTCTGTTCTCATCGGAGAAGGATCAGCTCCTGCTCTCCGCTTTTGGGAGATTAAGCCCTAAGGAGAGGCTGCTGTATTACTGAAAAATCTCATCCTTCCAACTGTGTCATTCATCACACCGAAGTATTCCTGCTTTGGGGTTCCAGAAAGTCTTCTGAGAGCCTCCCTCAGCATGCTCTGAGCTCCGGTGATCTGCAGCCACCAGATAGCGTTGATGTCCCCTAATGAAAACAAGCCCTTCCTTTTCCCTGGCTGCGAGGCAGACTCTGACTCAGCAGAAGCTACTGTACGGATAAACAGCGTGGGCCAGATTCCTCTTGACACGAGCAGCCCTTTCACACCCTTCTGGCAACGCCAAAGGGCCCCGATGCGATCGCAAGTGTGCTTTATACCCGCTGGAAGGTCTCGTCGCAGTGCCAGGAACGCGTGAGGAAGCCTCAGAATAAATGAAATCAGGCCCAGAAAGGACAGAACTGCTACAATGGCATTTCTGTGGGAACTTTCCCAAAAGTCATCTCCCACTGAAACTCCGCGCGAGGCTGATGCTCGTTCTACTGGTCACATGTGGCTCCCAGATCTTTGCAGTTCATCGGCCTCTGAACATATGTGATGGCGTCTCTCTGTGGTGGAAAAAAAAAAAAAAGAAAGAAAAAAGGTGGCTCCGCTTCCAGCTCCACAAAGGATATGAGCAAGCTGTGTATGCTTCTGCAGCCCTTGTCAGTCAGTAAAATTAGATCCTTACAGCCCTCTCGCTTGAAGACATGTAGCTTGCTAGACGTCAGGCAGTGCAGGGCTGTATTTGAGGCTTGAGCACAGCAGCAGAATGATAAGAAGAAAGCTGGATTGGTTTCTGGCACTGCCAGGATCTTTCTGATAGCTGGTAATCTCAACCAGCAGCAGCGAGCAGACTACAAGGGTTGCGTGGAGATATAATAGGCACTTCTCAAATTATTAATTCGAATATATATATATAGTATATTCTTTTTATGACCTCTGGTGAGCTTTAAATAAAGCATGGCAACAAAATACCTGCATTTGTAATTATTTTGAAGTATATATCCATGGCTTTGTTTTTCTTGCTTGCTTTTGAGTTTTAAGATGAAAGCAAACAGCCCGGGGTTATTCTGAGGAGAATCTAGGTATATGAAACTTTTGATAATTTTTCCTATAGGAAAAGCAGCCTGCTTCTTTCCAAACCTTCCAAATAAGGTTTCATACTATTACCAGTGCAATATAATGAGCTGATTGTTTGGGAAGCGCAGGAGGGGCTAATTTTCCAGGGATTGCTAGTGCCGTCTGTGGTGCAATAGGGTCCCGACTAAATGCTGAACATTACACTCAAGCCTTCTAGAGCACTGCTGCCATTCCATGCAAATTCCTTTGCTAACTTTATATTAGAAACATTTGCAGTGATCTTTTTAACCTCTGTCTGTGTCCCCAGCGAGAGGGAAGCTGACTGAAAAATGTAAAAAGAGACCGATGAGCGCATCTATGAAATTTAAACTGAGGACCACCTCCCCCCCAAAAATACATATTTGTCACTTTTGACATTTGCTGACTCTTTTCCTTTAAAAGAAAAAGTCAAGAGCTTTAAAGAAAAATTAGGGAAAGCCGCCTGAAAGGGTTAAACTTTTTCCCTACAGCTTCTCTAAGCGGAACTGATATTCTTAGTCTGACTTAAGGATATGGAATAGAAAGGCTGCCAACATCTGTTGTGGTCAGAGACAGATAAAAGAGACTAATTCAGAGCTGGAAGAACCCATGTACAGCATTCTGTGTTGCATTACCCTCTGCATAAAAGCACGCAAAATAGCATTTGATAGTATGGAAGATAGGTGCTCACCTAAACTTCTGCACCGTAGGGACCTGGGAGCTTCACACGTATGGAAGTTCCCTCATCGCCACCGAGGGAGAGAGAAACCACAACGTGACACATTCAGCTTCCAACTGGGGAGCTCTGGGGCTGAGAGTATTTCAGAAACACTGAGTTTATAATCACACTGCTACATAACAGGGCCATAGGAATGAAACAGAAAGGAGACAGGTGATTTGGGAGCTCACAGGTATTGGGAGCAATATCAATTTCACCTGCTGGCCGTTAAAAACTTAGCACAGAACAAATTAGGATACTAATTAACTTTGGAAGTGGATTAGCCCAAACTCCATGAAGGCACTCAGAGCAAGAGGATCCACAGAGGCTTGAAGAGCTAATGTGATTTACATTCACACCCCAATTCAGTTCTTAAACGTACTTCATGTAGACAAGCCTTCAAATTACTGTAATCAGCAATTATTTCCGAGGAAGCCAGTGCCATTATGGCAGTACACAACAGGCATACAGTCAAAATCAGGCCTATAGATGACAAACTGCAGAACAAGTGCAGCCATCTATATTTACTTTTGCCAAGATTGTAGGACAATCCTGTAGGACAGGAACTTCAGGATCTGAAGTGCAGTTTGAATGACAGCCATTTTACTGCAGGAAAAGAAAGTTTTACATACAGGCAACTTAATTACATTACGAGTGAGGCTACAAGTGTGTAAAGTCTAAATGCTCTTCTGCTGTGAGCTCTGCTGTCCTTATTCCAAACAAGCATCCAGCTTGCCTCTTTCATAGTAAACCTCGCTTTACACCTCACCTTTCATATTCATCAGGAGCTAGGATGCAGATGGAATTAAAACTCCCTGTCAGGAGTGGGTGTTGCTTTCAAGAGCAGAGCAGGAGCCAGAGGCACTGGGCCCAGCTTCTGAGAAGGTAGAACCAGAAGTCCTGCCCTAAGTTCTGCTCCTATGAGGTGATCTAGTCCTTATTCTAAAGGACAATTGAGCTGAGCAATATTTCTTTTTCACCTTTTACACCCTGACATACCCCTAAAAACATTCCCCTCATCTTTCAGAAAATGAGCAGAACATTGGCAGGTATAGCATCACCGATCAAAACTCTACCAGTTTAGAGAAATTCTCCTTCAGCTACCTCCATCCATTTTAAAGTTTTCTTTGCACATCTTGGCAGTTAGAGAACTTCGCCAAACGTTTCTTGCTTGATATAACAGAAGAGAACCAGATTATGAAGCACTGGCTTGCATCTGTACTGGATCAATAATTAAGGATTCTTAACATAAACACCAGTTTCTTCTCATAGCTGCATAATGCAAGCCTTTCACAAAGCAGGTGTAAATTTACAAGCTGGCTTTATGAACTCATTCCTTCATTGCCAAACTCTTAATTAAATCTGATTTCTCAGCTCAATAGCATGTTTGTGTGTTAAACATATAAAGAATTATTAAATCACACTGAGTTTTTACCACCATTACACATATACATATTTTGCAACATTAAAAGCCTCCAAATGTTCTAAATTATTGATAAGTATTTAGTCACACTTTTTTCCCCCCCAAATATAAGTATGTTTTGAATAACTGATCTTTATTTCAGATGCATGAAAATCAACGATTTAAAACATATTTTGAGGTTTAAACAACTACACCACGACTACCTCTTCTGTAATCTCAGACTGCATATATCAGAATCAAGATGCACCCTGGCAAAGACATGTTGCCATAGCTAAATGAAGCATCTGATACAGCTTTTAGATCCCATTGTATTTCTCAGTTGCTAAATAATATGCCCAGTAGGCTAATAGCAGTCTGTGCAAGGTCTGATCCCGTGGGATTTTGCCATCCAAAATCTGCCAGCCTCTAGATCTGTATTTCTATGACTGTGAAGGCAGCTCCCCGTAAGGAGACATGGTTTGTGCAAGAAGTAGGAGGATTTTGTACACCACACAAGTTCTTCATGTTCCACAGTCCAAAATAGACTTATCTGGAGCCAATTTACTGAATGTAATTTATACCAGACCCTTGCTGGAATGACTTGCACTCTTGCGGCTCTTCAGATGTATATCCAATAGGGAGCTATCACTCTGCATGAGTTTTAATACAGAGGTCCAAGTACAAAATCCAGTACCCTGAGACACCATGTGGCTTTGGAGCTTTCCTTGAGAGAAGCAGAGCCAATAGCTCAGCAGCCAGGTTATATACACTACGGAGTTCTTCTACTTGTAACAGGTATGATATGGGTTGTTTTCTTTTTAGGATTTGACAGTCTTCTCCAACAAATAACGAGGTCAAATAGTTAATCACTTTTTCAGCCTAGAAAGTTTTCAACTCAGCTATTATTTCAGAAAGACAGGCCTAGTCCTTAGAGATGCTGAGCATTGGCTATGCTATTGGAACAAATGCATAAGGAATATACAATTTTCTTCTGAATCTGTACAGCCCTCATAGCCTTTTTCACAGTGCTTATAAGCATGAAATGCCAAAGACGCTATACAAGTCTGGTACAGAACTGGACATGAGATGTATAGATTACATGCATGTAACCTGAACAACAGTTTGTACATAATTAAATACTCCCAACTTGAAATCTCATTCTACAGAGTTTTGTACTACAGAAAGGTCTTCTGCATATAATCTGCAACAACAGGCAGCCAAACAACTACATTGTACTCACCACCATGAGCTGTGCATTCTTTAAATTTATTTCTCAGGCAATTTCAATACCAATCCATTCTGCAGCTGAAAAATGAGGAAGTGAGAAATCACTTTTGATGTAAACCACCAGCATGAAGCAAGAATAGTCAGTAAAGAATATCCACTGTCTTTGAAAGAGCAGTGCTTCGGAAAGCATACACTGAAGGTATGTCTTTACTGCACCCTGCAATGCAGTGAAGCTTTTAGGGAACCAACTCCCACCCATACCAGAAGCAGCCCAGGCAAGGCAGCATGAAGCTCAGCAGGTGACCTCCTGATACTCACTGAAAGAGATCCACCATAAGCAGAATTTAGTTAATTTAGTTGCAACTGCAGCACCTAGAAGTCCTTAACATAAAGTGTGACATTCTCATTACTTTTTCTTTCAGATTAATAGGATGAGATTGTGCAATACTTTCTGAATATTAATATATAGAAATTAGATTATATTCACCTGCATGTACACCTTAGAACATACCACTGCTGTACTATCAAAAGGCAACTTTTAGCAGCCTCGCAATAGCACCGTGTCCTCATTATATGCCTGTATTTCAGCAGGGGGATGAGATGCTTTGAACCTAATGCTACAAAGTCAGTCAGTGAGGGAGCAAAGAGGTGAACTTACACCTGCAACACCATAGGTCACAACCCTGATTTCTACAGCAACCATTTTCCTTGGCCACAAGGAACGAGCTCCCCTGTGCTTTGGTGCCCGCAGTCCCTAAACTGCAAAGGGAGGCACGCAGCTTGTGGGGTAGCAGAACAGCAGGAAATACTTCACTGAAATTAAAACAAGTAGATTTTCACTGCTTAAACATGCAAATGGCTTACACATTACTGCAACATGGCAGGATCATATTAATTTTAATAGGCCTGCTCCCCACTGGAAAACACTAGAGATCTTTCCTGGATATTTTTTTTCTAAAATAGCTCAAATTGTTACACTGTGAGGCATGGTATCAGTGTTTAAGGCTCTCCTGTTGCAAACACTCACCCACAAGCAGCAGTCTCACCTGCTTTGATATTTATCAATGATAGGAAAGCCCTTTTAAATCCTCACAGCAGAGGAAGCAGTGTAATGACCCTGAAGTCAGGGAAATGTAGTTACTGATTAGCAACAGCCCAAGAAAAAGAAGTGTCTGCAGGAGGGAAGAAAAAAAAAAAAGGCAGTCTGGGGACCTTCAGAAGTTTATCTCAAAGACATCTGAAAGCCCAGAGAGTATTTTTGTTTGCTAACAGTGCAGCTATGAATGTGTTTTCCTCAAATGCCTGTGCACCAGGCCCACAACTCAGTCTCTGCCTCTCATGAGGAGACTCACGGCAACCACGTCCTACCTGCCCTCACCAGGCACCTACCAACCACCTTCCTCCAGAGTCTGCCACACGGAAGGAATAGCATCCCACCCCAGGACAGCAAAGCTGGGGGGGCAAGGAGGATTTCAGACATTTCCTGCTACACACCAAAACCTGACCGTTGCCCCCCAAAATCATCACCCCCAAACTTGAAAACACAGACTGCATCCCTTCGACCCTTCCCAGACCTTTTTTACCAAAACTTTTTACCAAAAATTTAGCAGTCACAGGGTAGGAGACACTCCTTGCTCCCCCTCTTCCAAACAAGCAGATCCTTCTGGAGGCTGCTGGGTTGGTGTGACTGTTTCTAGGCTATTAAGTTTGTGTAAGTATTTGAACAGCATTTTTTATTTCAGCTGCCACATCTCTTTTATTGGCAGTAATTTCCACTTAGTAGATATTATTTACACATTGTTTTAAATATATTTAAGATCATCCCCATGCTTCCTAGCTTCATAATGGGTTCCCTTTCATAACTACAAGGCTCTCACAAAAGCTGATTCAGTAGTAGGACATCATAGGCTACATCAACATCAGATTCATCTCGGGCAGATATATTTTGGCTTTATTCCCCCACACTGCATCTAAGGTGTGTAAACTGTCAGGAATATCAGCTTCAGGAAAGTGACAAATATTATTACTCTCACAGAACCACACATTGAAATATGAGATGGCTACAAAGAACACGAGCTTGTTGTAGACCATTGATACTTTGAATAAGTTAAAATAATAACATCCATTCAACATGATAGCCTGTCTCTAACAGCAAACCTACTTGGCACCAAAGCAGTTATAAGAGTCAAGAACCATATCTCAAAAGCCTTGCAGTTAAAAATAATTATATATATATATTTCTCAAAGCAATCTTGTAGGATCAGTAAATATTATGCTCCCACTTCATAGACAGATAGACTTCTCTGTGCCTTTTTAAACAGGCATAGACAAGGCCTGCAAAGTTAGAAAGTAAAAGCTCTAGCAAGGCTGGGGATTAAAGTAAGAAAATATGGAGAGTTTGCCTCAGTCTTTCAACTAACCATTTAATCAAAAAATAGTATTTCTATTCAAAAGCAGCTTAAACAGTTTCTTAACCTCTCTTCCATCATAGCCCCAACTTGCCTCCATGGTGCAACATCTTCTCCCTTAGCAAGGAGGCAGCAACCATACACAAGCACAGCAGGGAAGATATCTAGCTTCCCAGCCACTCTTTTAAAGTTTCTTTTGCCACCTGATGTGAGAGACAGCTGGGATGAATCTTCCAGAATTGCTCCACCCAAAAAACTAGGCTGAATATTTGATGTAGGCCTAATGACTGTCAGAGTGGCACCAAGAGGCAATCAGTCTTCCAATGTAGCAGCAGTTTTGCCTGCTAAATGGAGCAGTGAAGTTTTGCATAAGGCCTAAAAGAGAACTGTAGCAAGCTCGTTGCAAGGTATCTGTAGAAACCTGTCCAATATTCAGCAAAAAAAAAAAATATAAAATATAACAAAATAAAAAATAAAAATTGCTCCCTCTCCTCCATTGGAAACACCTTCCCAATTATGTGCTGCTTGCAGTCAAAATGATGTTGGTACTTTGTTGACACAGATCTTTCATGAACAAACAAAGATCATGAAAACAGTCAAGAGTTGTCAGATGATAGGGAAGAGCGAACATTTCCCCATGGCAAGGAAAAAAAGCTATCATCATCAGCCTAAAGAGACAAGGGTTGATTTTTGTTTACAATACTTGAATGTGAGAGCAAACTGGGCCACCCATTTAGAGATGGATTCTGCTCCTTGATTGCACAGTTATTTTTAACTTCTGTGTTTTTATAACAAGTCTGGCTATGAACTTTGCTACAGTTCTTCATACAAAGAGAATTCACAGACTTTCAGCAAGACTGCTGTATTTTAGATTAGATGGCAATTTTATTTGAAAAGTGACAAAGAAAAAAGTGGCTTCTCTAGCTTGGCAGATCTGTGCCCTGTGTGTATTCAGTTATAATTTATTCATGCTGGTGATGAAATACATTCCCCTGGTTTTTAGTCACTCAGCCCTGCAGAGCTGGTGGAGCTCAGAGAGACAAGAGCAACTGTGTTTAAGGGCTTCCCAGAACGTATCAGTGTGAAACTTGAATGTTTTTTATTTATTTGTTGGTGGTTTTTTGTTTGTTTCTGATGTGGTTGTGATTTCTGTAGGTAGCAAGTACAGGTGGATGTCCCCTACATCAACCCAACAGAGCTAATGTGCATCCAGATGTTTGTGCTATTAAGGCACATCCAAAAACTGTGATGGGCTCCACAGAAATCCCCAAGTCCCCTAGTTCCTGGGAGGTACCAGGCAGAGCAGCTGAGTGCATACATATCAACTTGGCAGAGCATTGTGCACCACCATCAAGGCACAGTGGTGTGGCTGTCATCAGCCTGGTGTCCCTCAGAAGGGTGGCCCCACTGCAAAGGCTCTGTGGGCTGCATGCATGTGTAGTGCTACCCAGGAAATCACAGGAAAAAAAAAGAAAAGAAAAAAAAAAAAAAAAAAAGGAAGCTTTGATGTTCTTTGGTCTGATTTCCTCAAGTAACAGCAGAATTGCTTGTAGTACGAAGTGGTGAAAAATTCATGGCTCAGACTTTTCACCCTGAAAGCTGCAAGACCTGGTTTCTACCAGGTGATTTTGAAAATAATAATAATGCATTGGAGGTGTTCTCATTTCTGACCCTTAGGATGTATGCCAGTTATCTTGCCAAGCCTCTTCTGTTGCAAACCTGGAGGCTAGAAATTTAGTTTTAAGGAAGACCTATTCAACTAGCAGTAGGCAACACACTATGAGATTCGCCATGAAGAAAAATCTATGAGATTCTGACATAAATCCCTTGTCTCCAAAACCAAAGGCTTTGAACAAAAGTTGTGAGATTTATGACAAAAAGCACCAGGGCTGTCAGCAAGGCATATAAAAATGCTGTTGAGGTTAAGCAAAAGCTTTAGAAGACATAGGTCTGCAAAGTAAGCAAGGCTAGATTTTGGCCATAGAACCACCTCTGCCATTCAGCCCTTTGCCACAACAGTCAGCTCTGCCTCTTCCATGACAAGCAAACTTGTCATGGAGGTCACAATTTCAACCAGTTACCATGTAGGTCATGTAATGCTTAGGCCTCCCTCATTTCACACAGTATGGGTCAATTCCTCCATCTGTTACGTCACAGGAGAAAGTCATAGAATCATAGAAACACAAGGTTGAAAAGGACCTACAAGTTCATCTAGACCAACCGTCTTCCTGTCACCAATACTACCCACTGAGCTACTAAAGCATATCTCGTAGCACCTTGTCCAGGAGCTTCTTGAACACTGTGAGGGACGGTGACTCCACCAACCCCTGGGTCAGGCCATTCCAGCACCTGACCACTCTTTGTTTTTTTCCTGATATTTAATCTAAATCTCCCCAGGCACAACTTGTGGCCATTTCCTCGAGTCTTATCACTAGTTATCTGAGAGAAGAGGCCGACCCCCAGCTCCCAACACCTTCCTTCAGGCTGTTGCAGAGAGCAATGAGGCCTGTTCCCTGAGCCTCCCCTTCCCCAGCCCAAACCCCCCCAGCTCCCTCAGCCAGCCCCTCACAGGCCTTGTGCTCCAGGCCCCTCACCAGCTCCATAGCCCTGCTCTGGACACGCTCCAGCACCTCAATGTCCTTCTTGTAGTGAGGGGCTCAAAACTGAACACAGTACTCAAGGTGCGGCCTCACCAAAGCTGAGTACAGGGGACAATCACCTCCCTGTCCTGCTGGCTACGCTATTTCTAATACAGGCCAGGATGCCTTTGGCCTTCTTGGCCACCTGGGCACACTGCTGGCTCATGTTCAGCCAAGCATTGATCAACACTCCCAGGTCCCTTTCCTCTTCACAGTCTTCTAGCCACTCTGCCCCAAGTCTATAGCGCTGCATGGGGTTATTGTGGCCAAAGTGCAGGACCCGGCACTTGGCCTTATTAAACCTCAGCCCATTCACCTCAGCCCAGCAGTCCAGGCTATCCAGATCCCTCTGAAGGGCCACCCTACCCTCAGGCAGATCGACACGACCTCCCAACTTGGTATCGTCTTCAAAGTAACTGGGGGTACACTCAATCCCCTCACCCAGGTCATCAATAGATATTAAACAAGATAGGCCCTAGTACCAACCCTTGGGGGACACCACTTGTAACGGGACACCAGCTGGACTTACCTCCATTAACCACAGCCCGCTGGGCACGGCTCTCCAGCCGGTTCTTGACCCAGAGAAGAGTTTATCTGTCCAGGCCATGGGCAGCCAGTTTCCCCAGAATACTGTGGGAAACCATATCAAAGGCTTTGCTGAAGTCTAAGTAGACTACATCAATAGCCCTTCCCTCATCTACCAGTCTGGTCACACGATCATAGAAGATGAGGTTGGACAAGCACAAGTCCACTTACTCGAGCAAGGAAGGTCTAAGCTTGTCATTTGTAAGAAAATCTGTAGGTCCAGTCCCAAATTTTAAAAATGCTCCTGCCTAAAAACAGAAAACAGAAGGGAGTGGTCCTTCCTATCCAGAGATGTGTGGGACAGCCTGCTTTTAGGAGAAGCAATGCTCCTGCAATGTGTTATGTGTATGTGTTTGGGGGTATGAAAAAGTACTGTTCCATCAGGTAAATGGCACAGATGACAAGGATGCAGCAGAAAAATTTCTGCCTTCCCAGTGTCTCCCTCCAGAGTCTAGATTTTAGCTTCCTAAACTTTAGGGGAAAGTTTTACTTGGAGGAGCACAGGGGTGTTGATGGGTTGTTGTTGTTGCTGTTGTTGTTGTTGTGTGGTAATTTTTTCATTGGTACTTAATTTCAGTAGATTCCCTAAGATAGAGAAGTTTAGAAATCAAGCAGCCAAATATATAAATAAAAAGAGAGAAAAAAAAATGATGTCACCCTCAAGCAGTTCCATCAAGGGATGACATTTTAAATCACATCATGTCTCACACCCATTTCTTAGTGCAAAATAAATCACTTGAACAGAGTGCAAGCCAATTTTTACTTTAAAAAATGTTGTGTCCTAAGGCTCTCTTCTTGAACTTCAAAAGCATACTTCATAATTACTCTACCTATCAAAGGAAACTCAATATTTCACCTCCAACCTCCCTCTGCTTGTGTTATAATTTTTAATTGTTAATAAATTATATTAATTTTAAACTGGTTATTCTCTCTCAAAATTACATCTTTCAAATGAGTATGGAAAGTTATTTTAAATTAACATATTTACCTTTAAATTATATTTTAGTAATTTGTTTATGACTTTTCTTCCCTATTAATTCTTACATGAGGATTTCAACCTTGGGATACCCCATTTAACTTTATTTGAATACTGCTGTCTCAATTTAAGAGCCTTAAATCTATTTCACGGAGCTTGAGATTTCTAGAAAACAGGTATTTTTGTTTTGTTAGCATGGTTACATACTTGAGTTTGGAGGCATCACTATGCAGTGCATGGGCTTCTGTCATCACAAGCTTAAGACACGGGAGGAAAATTTGAAGTCATATTTACCATCTAAAAGCAGCTTTTGCAGGTGTGTACAGCACTTGTAAAGAATACGCATATCAATATTTCTGGTGGGGCTATATTATTTTCTTTAGCTAGCAGGTATATTACTTAACGCTCTATCCTTGCAAATGCATTCAAGAAGGGTAGATGCAGCATCTACTGCAGATGCACTCTTTTCTGTAAAGGTGAGGGTGCTTCTGGATAAAGAAAACTAAGTTCCTGTGTGTATTCCAGCCTGGTAATAAAGGCATCGTTCTTAATAGTGCCCAACAGCCAGCATTTAGGAGTACTCACTGTTTTTTCAAGGCTGGTCACATGCTTAAATGAGTGAGCAACTACTGCAAAATGGTAGAAAAAAGCCAGCATGCCAATTTTAGTATTATATATAGCAATGCTCTTCAAACTCTAGCACATGGCAATTACCCTCATGGCAGGACCAACCAAAATAGGTGGCAATGTCCTGAGGTGGGACAGAGGCAGAGAAGTTCATGCCCAGGTGATGTTGAGTTTGCCTCTTGGGCTCCAAGAGTCAAGCAGAACTGGAGCACATGGCAAAGAAACAAAATGCACCCAGCTGGTGAACTCAACTACTTGGCTGAACAAACAATTCCCCCATTAAAAGGAAAATCTTCCCAGATATGCTTTTGGGATTCCTGGGCAGCCCATGGGAAAGAAACACAGAGCACAGACTGTCTCTGGGTAGTAAGTTGTGAACGTAAGATTAAGCTCAATGTGGACAGGATGCTGTTCAAGTGCCAAACAGATACCCCTATAGCCTGCAGTTTTCAAAACTAAATAAATACTGGGACTATCTCAACATCCCTGTGTTACACAGCCACATACAAAAGTATTTTTTTTTCCCAATTATCAGTAGACAACTGCAAATTGTCCATGTTCAAAGAACGCTGGCTACCTAAGGTGTGAAGCAGTCGGTACCTCAGAGATTGCTCTGCACTAAACCTGCCACATTTTGTCACCTTTCCCTCATTATTCTGCATACACAATAGTCTTCTCATATGAAAGAAATCTGGGTTTTGCTCGCTCTGCAGTCATTTCTCTGTTCAAAACGAAACCCACAGAGTCAATAACTTTTTGTGAGTCCTCATGACACCCATTGCTGGTGGATCACAGGAAGACTAAATCACAGGAAGAAGTACGAGCAAAGTAAAGCAAAATAGTTTCAGACCAAATTTACACTCTTGCATAAATCTCCGTCCACACTCCCAAGCCCCAGCTCGTCGAGATGAAAACGCAGCTCCTAATTCTTCCCATATGCCTCAGACAAAACGTTATGAATGAAGCACAGCTCCCTGTCCCACTTTGTTCCCTTCCAGCGCAACCCACCCAACTCTGGATCAACCCGCTTGGTTCTCGCTCCGTCTCATCTGCCTGGTCGAGGCAGGCTGGGGAGCTGTGCCAGCAAAGACGCTGCACTCCTCCTTGCAAAGGGGACGGGAGCGTGAGGTGGATGGCAGCATGTGCTGGAAGGCTCAGAAGTGCTCGACACATGTGCTCCTCTCCGGCAAAAAGGCAGAGGGAGGGGATGCGAGGAACGGGGCAGCGCAGTTCCGCTCTTTCATGTGACGAGGGCTTCCAGAGGAGCGTGCTGCAGCCAAAGGGAGGCACGGAAAGCTTTCTGGATGTTCTAATTTATTTCTAATAGTTGTCTTCGTTTAAGGAGCAGCGTGTTTTCTCTTGAGTCTGGCATAGCCACTGGCTGAAGCAACAGATGTACCACTCTGATGATCCTGAAGAAGGGAAAAACATCTGTCTGCGGCAGCGTTTTTGGACTCTGAGGACCGAGTGTATAAGCCTATGGGAGCTTCACAGGCACTTGAAGTCCCAATTTATTCATTGTTGATTTATTTATATACCTTTATGCGAGAGCCTTGGTGGCACACAGCAATGTATAGAGAAAAGTTTCAGCATATAAATTAAATTTTAAGACATCGAGTTACAAAAAAAAGAAGAGGCTTTAGGTATGTGTGAAGCGGCATGTCGTTAGATATTTGCGTATTGAGGCGGGCATCTGACGTTTTATAGTATACACAATTGACACATCTGGGAAAATGCATGCACTGCCAGCTAAAATGCCTAATCTCTTCTTTAACACATCTGTGGTTTAATTACAAAACCTAGCGAACAATTAAAATTCAGGTCAGCACACAGCAGCACTACCATCCTTTGATGTGGGGTCAGTGTTGGTCACAGTCCTGTTCTCATTATATAGGTTAATCAACTTAGTGGAGTAACTATGACAGGGCTGACCAGAAATCCATGTAATTACCAATGCTCCGAGAGCGGTGGCAAGCGGGGCTGTTTTATTTGTTCGATACACAAATATTATTTCTTCTAAATAAAAACCAGCTCGAGATCCCAGATCCGGAGCTGTTGCTCTGAAGCAGATTTGTTTATTCGGCGAGTAACTCATTACTGCTGTCGCTCTCCTTATTGCCGTCCATCTGCACGCGCCCACGCGGCGGGGCGCGCACCCCCCCGACACACGTGCGAGCACACACCCACACGGTAGCCTTAATCTTGTAATTAGATTTGTACCGGTGACTACTTCTGCCCCTGCAGCATCCCACTGGCTGCAGTTGCTTGTGCTCTGCACCGACTTGCAAAGCCACCGCACAGATCCGCTCGCAGCAAATTTAGGACGAAACGACGCACACGTTGCTTTTGGTCTGGGAAAGAGGAAGGCACCGTGTGACACCGGCACGGAAGGGAGTGGGAATGTAGGTTTGTGACCCGGTCACCTCCACCCATTCATCCATCTCACAAGAGCTGCTTGTTGTCGCAAATTTGGGGGCAACTTCCATCCAGCACCCATTTCATAGAAGCGGCTCGCTGTGGCCGGATCAGATGTTGCTTTCTCTCACCCAGATGTAGATTCTCCTTGATACCTAAACAAAGTAAACTCACCCCAAACCTCCGACGGGTAATCCCGAGTCCAGCTTGAGGGATATAACCAAGGCCCAAATGTCCAAACCCTCCACGCAGGAAAGCAGAAATTCCTGCCGGCTTTCTGGTAGGATGCACAGTGCCCCAAAAGCCAGGAGTTATCAGGCTGCTCAGCCTGGGATTTTCGCAATAGGCACCCAATTCTCCCTGAAATGAGAGTGACAGCTAGGAGGTTTGAGCTGGGATTTTTGCAACAGTCACCAAACTCCCGGGGAAATTCGGTGAGAGCTGAGAGTTTTGATCCCCCACATGAAAGTTGACAGGAAATTAATATGCATTTCAGTGGGGGTAGGACTCGGTCCGGGTGCCACACTCCCATAAGCTCTTTTGAAAAGCACAGCCTTAAAAGGTAATATTCTGATATCCTGACTATGCGAGGTTGGGTAATTTTTTTTCTAAATCTTAAAAATGTCTTAGTTATAATTTTCTCCAGCCCTTCCGTCCCCATGAGATAAAAGGAGCCTGGCTTTACACGCAGCAAGATTTACCAAAGGAGCCTCAGAGAAGTTTGAAACCGCCTCCTAAAACACTTCCAAATCAGTTTCTAGATTTTTCTTCCTGCACATTGAGTGCAACACGGGCAGGCAGCTAGGACTGAGCGAGGTGTCCCGGCTGAGCATTTGCCTGGGCTGAAGCTGGACCATTTGCTAGCGCCGCGATAACCCCAGGGGCACCCTCCCCAAGAGCAGCAAGCCAGACAAAGGGGACGCTGAGCCAACAGAGGAGCCTCTGGACATACGCCGAAGCACAGCCATAAAAGAAATGACAGCACAGTACAGCGTGGCATTGTGGTGGCACGCTGTGTTTTCATTAGGGCGTGTCAAAATTTTAAACTGGGACAATAAAGAAGGAAAATATTTTGGTAATAAACCCTGGGTTGTCCCTTTTTAAGGGAAAAGTTTAACTGCTGTAGGGGGGCAAGGACTGTGTTTTATTAGGTTTGTTGTCGGGTGCCTATCTCGTTGGCTTCCTTACATACTGTACTGGAATAGCAATAAATAAGAGGAGCCTTTAAGTGTTGCCACAGTGCTAATATTTACTACTTGTAACAGGCGTCGATGAGCAGATCTTTACTGCTCCTTTTCTGTTTGAGTCCTACTCCCTGAGACGCTCTGCTCGCTCATTCTCCCCACCCACTACATTTAAACTAACAAACCAGGTTTTCTTTATGTCATCTCCATCCATCCCAAGAGCTTTGATCACCAAAGGGAACATGCCAGCGCTGGCAGTGTTCTCATTTGAGGGGAAACATTGATATTTCCAAGTTATTTTTGTTGTGTGGCTGAATGACAGCAAGCATTTTCAATTGTTTTAGTCTTCCAAGAAGAAAAAAAAAAAAAAAAAAAAAAAAAAAGCACTCTGGTCAGGATAACTTATTTAGATTAAGCTTAAAATATCATTTATACTTTTTCTTCTTTTATTTTTTGAAATGACTTTTTAACTGCTTCCTAAAAAAATAAAAACAAGCCTTCAAGAAAAAATTGTTTGGAAACGAAACACTGAAGCTCCTTGTTGTAGCAGGAGTCAAACAGGACATATTCATATTTTGCTTTCTTATGTTCAAATGAAAGTCACTGAAAAGTTCACAAACCCGCTAAACATTCACATTTTTAATAAAAATGGCATTTTGGGTAGAAAGAACATTTGGATTGATTTTTCATCGCATCTAGTGGAAGCTACCAGGGACTAGCACGATGTCTTCTTGCTGTTTCTCACCCCTGATGTTGCAATTTTCCTGCTACCCATTCTGTGGTCTTCATCTGCGTTGGGTCGGTTCACTGTGGAAAAGCACAAATGGAAACTCTTAAGACCCTCTTGAACGGAGCTAGGGGAGTACCAATGCACCGTTACGGGTTGTGTACGTATGAGTCTGTAGCAGATTGGGGAGCATCCAATCGCCAGAGCCATCTCTATCACAACGCGCAGCACCAGAGCTGGTCCCACTCGGATTATTTCTCTTTCTCTCAAGAAACCTCCCTTGGCTTCCTTGTTATTCCCAAATCTGAGAAACAAGTCCAAGAGCAGTGCTGTGCTGAGCCAGCAGGAGGTGCTCCTATAGCAAGAAAATCTGCCCAACAGACCAAAACATAGCTATGTGGCACCAAATTTCCTTGCCATTACCATACGAGAAGCCTTTGGCATGCTCAAAAAAGGGGGTTCGGTATGGCAGGGAAACTGGTTTGAGCTATCCTACAGCAGGAGCCTAGACAGACGCAATATTTTTCTTGTTTTTAAGTTATTGTAATCAAGCATATTGCAAAAGAGGAAAAAAAAATAATGAAAATATGTTATTAGGTCCTAGTAGACTTGCAATTTCTGAATTTCTTTTACAAATGCCCATAGAGTATTCCGTCTTTATCCTCCCAAGTCACTGAGAATAACACATCAAAGAGCATGTTTGCATTTCTATAATAGATAACAGCATTGACATAAGCTTCAGGGTTCATACAAACTATAAACTGAATTACCAATCTCCTATCTCACATATTTATAAACTGTAAGTCGAGCCTGGAGAAAAAATTCCAACTCCAGGTGAAATAATTATTCTGGGGCTTTTGAAGCGTCACTTCTGAGCTACAGCCCGAATTCCGGTGGACATGAATTATCCTGTTGGCTTGCACCAGCCTCTCTTGGCGTAGCAAGAGGCAGGCAGCAGCCTGGCCTCTGCCGGCCACTGCCATGGCTGAAAGCACAAAGCAAGACACCTTTCTCCTTGTACCTTAAGGAGGAAGAACATAGTTTCCCTGATTTCCAAGAAAGCTCACAGAAAGGGCCCGTTTTTGGAGAAACCAGGCACCGTACACCCTCCATGGACACCAAAGCATCGATAAAGCCAGGGCACCTTGCCCCAGAGGTGAGTGCAGCAGGCTGAGAGCTTGCAAGAAACCACGGGGAACCAAGCAGTGAGTCTGCCCTGGCGTTGTGTCACCGCAAGAAGTCAAGGAAAGGAGCTTTTCACCTCCTGCCATGAGCTGGGCCGTGTGTGACTCACCTAAACCACTGGGTGAGAGCGTGGTTCTCGTGTGAGACACTCTTGAGTGCAACACCAGGTCTGGAGACGACGTGAGTCACCCTGAGCAACCCTGTTCAGTTTGGGGGCACTGCGCTGTCAGAAAGGAGAGCAAAGCAGGAAGGAAAGCATTGCCAGAAAGGGTTGTACTGTCACACACGATTACCTTCACCGAGAAACCAAAAACCTGAAGCCAGCGACACTCGTGGGTCCAAGCCATCAGCTCCAAGTCACAGCCCCTCAGAAGGTCTCTGCTGCTGCTGCCACTGTTCAGCAGGCTCAAAAAGAAAGACAAGGTGTTAGAGGAAATAACAGCCTGATGTGTGAGACAGGATGTTCTTGGGTAGTTTTACAAACGGCAACTGGAGTCTAAGCTGGGCGCATCTCTTTGTAGACCTCATACAAGACCTGTAGCCCCGATGGTGTTACGTGAACTCAGCAGGGCACAAAGGTCATCTGGTTCTGGACTACATAACAAGGCGTGGGCATTTAAGGCACGAAAAATTACAGGGGACATTTATTACGGTTTTGTGATGAGGGTTCAGACCTCTCCTCTTAAGGTCCTTACAAAGCATCGTGTCAGAAATAGCTGTCATTTTTCATTTCGTGACTTTCCACTGGATCAGCCCTACAGTTCCTCCAGATGGCACAGATAAGAACAATCAATTTCCTTGCACCATCCCCTGTTGCATTATGCAAACACTGGGAATCCATTAAACGCAAGATTTTTAACTAACTTGCAACTGAAACCAACTAGCTTTTTTTGGTGGTGGTGGTGGTGTGTTTTTTTTTTTTAGCTGTAGGATGAAAAGCTTTTCTCTAATGTGTGGCTAATTCACTGAGCATTTACCAACTTCAAAACCTTCCCAGACAGACAGGACTGCTTCCAAACCAGACCAAATGTAACGTACCTGAAGCTTTGCTGCTCGGTGACAAAACCAGCCTGTAAGCAGCCTGTACTTTTTGGAGAATGCCTCCTTACCCTCGCAAGCACAATCGATTCATGTTTGCTTGCTACCGCACCAGTAAGAACAAAGTTGGCAATAGGATTTGGGGTCGGATCGGCGAAAGGATTCTCGTGACAATGGCAGCATTCACAAGCTCTGTCAACGCTGCATGGTTTATTTAATTCAGCAAACACTTAGCTTTGGCGGCAGAGAACGGCCAAGCGATGGAGACAGAAATATTAAGGTAGAAGGGCAGAGCAAAAATTTCTCCTGGCTAGACCATGACTAGATTCAAAGGGAGACTGAGGGGGGAGAGGGACTTTTTTGTTGTTGTTTCTGGGTTGTTGGTTTTTTTTTTCTGAAACAGAGTCCTGTTCTTGTGCTGCAAGTGGCAGAAACATGAGGTGAGGATCATTAAGCGATGAAGGCTCTGCAGCTGACAGATTACAGGACAGATTTGGCTCAGCCTCTTTAACTTTGCTCCCCTGCGAACCGAAACACTGTTTTATTTTTCTCTTTGGAGACATTATCTAAGAGGATCAATACATGCGAGAGAAGCATGTTCAGCCTTCTGGGAAACCGAGACATGGCACTGAAAAGACGCTCAAAAAAAAGGCAGCAGAAAGTACTTGACTCTTGAATAGGTTTGTGTTTAAAAAATTGGACTGCGTAAGTGAAAGATGAAAAACTGTTCCAGTAGAATGTGCAACAAGCCCTTAAAATGGGAGTTTACAAACAAGAGCCCCTTTGTTCAGTGGTGCCATTTCATTTGGGGTTTGGAGTCTTTTTTTTTTGTTCATTTCTGGCTCCAAATTGCCTTAAGAGAAACTAAAAATAAATCTTGCTCCAAAATCTGGCTGAAACAATATTTTTAGGTTACAACACACAAGAAAGCACGTGAGCATGATGAGAGGGCACATTTGGCCAGCTCCCCTATCAAAAGGTTTCCAAACTTGCTAGCAGTATAGAAACGGGGCAGAGCTTCCCGTGCATCGGGGAGATGCCTACCACCACCCCAAAAGTGAGGCTGGTCAATACCACGGTGCACGGAGGGTTTCACATGCCTCTACATAACGCCTCACTGCCAGTTGCCTTATTTTGATCTCCCAATGACTTGCAGCTTTCCTGCTGGTGCTACCAGCACGGCTGGTGGAGGTGCTGGAGCCAGATCTTACGCTGTTTGAAGGATGAAGGGCTTCGGGGCTTCAGAAGGCACTTACGTCAAGGAGCCCTACAGACTGAGAGAGCTGTCCTTATAGTTTTCGTGTGTGTGTAAGTGAAATAGATGAGTATTCCTGCAAAATTCCTGCCAGTTAAACCTTCCCGTTATATCAACGTGTCTGAATGGCCAGATTCACTCACCGTTACTAAACCAGTGATGGACCACGCACAGAAACCCTCCTAAGTTAAGTAAGGATGGGTAATTGTATAGCCCCACCACGCAACACACCGGGATCGGCGTCCCACTGTGCTCCTCGCTGTGCAAACACAGAGGGCACCGTGGGCCAGTTCCAAGACCCAAGTCTCCGAAACCACAAGCAAGGATTAATTTTAAGCAACTGCTGCCAAGGCTGCTGGAAGTATGTGCCTGAAAATCCTTTCATTGTCCCTTGTGTTGGAGGCCTTGAGATTAACAATTAGCAACCGGCCTCCTTTGGCAGTGTTTTCCCTGCTTTGCTGTGGAACAATTGGCATTAAACACTTGCAGGTCTTGGTCAATATCGTTGTCTTCTTTGCTGGTGTCATGTCCAAGTCCCATAAAAATAAGACTATGGGACAGTAAGGGACCTGGGGGCAAGTTTCAGCCCATCCTGCTGTTGCACATGGCTTCGCAGGCAGAAGGGCCGTGGCCCCACTACACCAGGCATGGAGGGAAAGACACCTTTCTTTACACCTTTTCTGTGGATCCACCTCTCTGGTCTGCCAGAGGATATTTCCCAATGCATCCATAACAGCTCCCAAAGCACCGTTTCAACATCCATGCACAAAACCTCCTGACGTGTCAGGTTTTAGAGGACCACGAACTACCTTAAAAACGGGACATAAAATTAAAGAATTAACCGTTCACAGCTCCCGGTAGGGAACCCAGTAATTAATATATAGCTTAATCTACGACTTCTGCTATCCTTACACAGCTCTAGCACTTTGGCCTGCAGCCCCTGTGTTTTAATTGCTCTCGCTAAAGATAACGCTGCTCTAATGCAAAATAATCTGGTGAATGCTATGCCCGTATCGGGGCCAAATGCCGGGTTTGTTAGACAAAAAGAAGCCAGCTCAGCACAACAAGGTGTTTGCCTGAGTTCGAGGGAAAACAGAAAGGTTTACTGCAAGTCAGAATACTGCACTGAAAATTAAATTAAATGCCACTAAAAGCTAATTTTTATGGTTATTGAATATTGTTTTTTTGTGGTCAACGTTTCACGGATAATCTTTTGTTAACATATAATAGTGAGCCACAACTTGTCTGCATGCCAGTGTTACCCTCTTTAGAGAAATATAAATACCGTGCAACACCTTCTGATCTTTCTTATATAAAGATCATTTTTTTTATGAAACACTATTTAGATGCTTCATGGCCGGCAAACATAAATAAATGTTATTAAAAGTAGTCTCGGCTGAGAGAGAGGTCTGAAAGACTGCATTCCTCGAGGGAGAAGCAAATAAACCAGGGAAAGTTTTATTTCATTATCAACGTGGTAGTGGCATGCACACATCAGCTGGTATTAATCTTGGTTATAGCTTGAGGCTAGCGACTGACGGCATGCTGTAAATTCAAATTCGGAAGGAAAAAAAAAAAAAAAAAAAAAAAAAGGTGATCCTCTCCTCCTGATTAATATATTAAAGCTCATTTTAAGTTGGATCAGATTGCAGACATCTGACTTTCACGTCACAGCAAGTGTTTGGGTCGGTTTCCGCTCTTTTGGTTTTTCCAGGCCGCTTTCCTCCGCTGCGTTACGTTCCCTGTGCCGGGACGGGCTTCCTGCGGTTGGAGGTTTAGGGACTTTTTAAGCCGGAGGTTGTATCCAAACGGTCGCGTTTCGTAGCCAAAATGAATTTGCCTAATCCTTTTCAGAATCCATTTCTAATTCAGGCCTCCATAACATCCTATGGCAAGGCGCTTCATAATTTAATTACACGTCGCGTGAAAAGGTAGTGAAATTAGGAGAAGTTATTAGGGTCTCTCAGCCAAGGAGAGCATTGTTAGCTGGAGCGTCTTATTTTGTTGAAAACCCTTGCTGGCTGGGGAGGAAAGGCTGCTCCTGCTGCTCTTGCTTTCGGCCGGGAGCGTGGAGGAGAGGAGGAAAAGCAAAGGCATGAGGGAAAGCAGGGCCTTCTGCTGGGATACGAGCAGCCAGGCCTCACCCCTCACACAGGGCTTATCCCGAGCAGCTCTGGCTGGGCTCAAGAGAAACTGCACGTGGCTTTTGCCCACGTCCAGCCCTTCATTCCCTCGAGCCTTTGGTGGAGTTTCCGAAATATTCGACTGAAACTGCCCACGGAGGCCGCAGCCTGCAGGAGCTGGACGTGGCCCTCTGCGCCCCCGTCCCCCTGGAGGTGCACATCCACGGACTGCTACCAGAGCCTGAACCGTGGGGCTATGGCACTGAGATAAGAAGGCTCTCGACAGCACCACAGCCTCCTGAAAACTCCTCTCTGACTGCACCACAGGCTCCTGCAAACTCCTCGCTGCGTTTCTCTGTCACTGGCCTAGCAAACCCTGCAGGGCCGGCTGCCCTTCACCCGCCGCCGTTCAGCACCTCAGCCAGGCAAACCGACCTCTGCTGCCTCTCCGGGCGGCGAGAGCCGGCTCTCGACACCAAATCCCAGCTCCAAGCAGCCTCCCCAGCACGCAGGGAAACTCGCCGCCTCCCTGCCAGCTCCCCACGCTTCCCACGGGGCAGCGTTTCCCTGCTCCTCTCCTTCCCCATCCAGCTGCGTGTGTGCGGAGGACACGGTCAGGCAGAGGTCAGGGCGTTGGAAAAAGCAAAAAAAAAAAAAAAAAAAAATTAAAAAAAAAAAAATCAAAGAGGAGTCACGCACGCGGGGAGCACATTCACCGCATTGCTGAACTGTCTCACCAGCCCGGGAGCAGCCTCCCACACGCCCGCGCCGCCGGTGCGCAGCTGCCGCTGGAGAGCTGCCCGCGGATCCGCCGCCCTCCCACCGATCCCCGGGGACCTTCTCTGGAGCCACCAGGCTTCTGCTGGCCACGGGCAGCCGGGCACGCAGGAATCCTGTGGCCTAAAAGTCAGGCAGGGTCCACAAGGTGCTCCCTCCGAGTGCCCGGGGAGTGCAGGGCAGTGCTTCCGACGCCAGGAAAAGAATAAAAAAAATAATAATAAAAACAAAACCTGCTGGTGCGGTCAGCTCTGTGTCTTAATTCTGTTTGGTGGGATACATAAATTGGGTTATGTTGAGCTCCAAAGTAGGCCTAGCTACAGCCAGGCCAAGGGCTTTTGCAGAAGGATAACTTCTCCACAAAGCGCCTCACGTCCTTCTGGGACTATAAATACTAATTATGCGCCGTGCCAGCGAGCACCGGTAGGAAGAAACCTTTTCAGCCCCGGGCTCCCAAGGATGTGTGCACAAAACCACCAGCAAAAGCCCTTCCGTGGCTTTTCCCTGCTGCAAGCAAGAAGCCACAGCGTGAGGTGCTCACCGAGGTTCCTGGTCAGGGCCCAGGAGCTGGAGGTGCTGACCTGGCTGGAGGGGCCTCTGGATATCACCCCCTGGCCATGGCACCCTGCCTCTCCAGGACGGGGAAAATTGCCACGTCTGGGCCACAAATAGCTTTTATTTATTTGGGATCAGAATTTCTGCCTCTGAGCAAGGAGATGTTGATGTAAATGGGCAGAAGTGCTACTCTGCCATTAAAAGTCTTTCCTTTGGCTGGCATCTCTCCTAAGTGCCACATCCAACACAACTCCTGAAGTTTGGGTTTTTGAAGGTGCCCTTGGGGATGGGGGACCACGCTCCCTTTGGGTCCTTTTAAAAACCCCGGCCTCAACATCCCAGCTGGGGGGCAGCGAGCTGCTGTGCTCGTCCCGGCTCTCACCTTCCCTCCACCACTCGGTGCGCAGCACGTCGGGCGCTCGGCGCCGTGCCTCCCAGCCCTGCCTTCCCTTTCATCCGCACGCTGCGGATTATCCCATCTGATGAGTCATCGGAAACAGCCCTGCGGTGGCAGGGCGCGATGCGAGGGGTGACTTCGCACGCTGCTTCGTGTCACCATTCCTGGGATGAAGCCGTGCCGCTTCCCCCTCTCTCTCTCTCTCTCTTCCGCGCTGCGCCGCGCGGAAGAAAGCAGCCCCTGAACCGCCAGCCGTTTAATCTCAGAATAAGATAACCTGAGGCATTCAGGAGAGCTGAGCCACCAGCGCCTTCGTCTAAACAAAAGTTCTTACAGCAAGAAGCACGCCGCTGGGATTTGCCCATTCAAATCTCATAAAGCCCGTGTTGCCGCGCGGGCGAAGAAAACCCGGCTCTTTAAACGAGGTAATTCCGGGCTAAGAACATTAATGGCATCCCAGAACCGGAAAGCTGGATGTGTAAATTAAAAAGCAAAAAAAAAAAAAAATAATAAATCACATACACACTCCTAATATCCTAATATCCTAATACCTATTACACGCGATCTCTTTCAAAGTAGCTTTTGGTGAGCAGCGCGGTGATTCCTTGTTGCAGCTGCCAGGCACGCAGCCGGGATGGGATGGGATGGGATGGGATGGGATGGGATGGGATGGGACAGGATGGGATGCCCTTTGTTACAGTCCTGAAGCCACATCCACATCCCTCAAAGAGTCGGGATCACCCACTTTCGGCACGGATTAATCCCCTGCTGTCTCTTCCTCTCCCCAAAGCACGGATCTGGGGGAAGCACAGCACCGTTCCCCCCCCGGGCAGCATCCCTCTGCTTCACCTCCCCAAAACCTGCACCCCAAAGGCTGCCAGCGTTGGGGTCAGCCCACAGCACCCACACCCGGAGGGGAGGGGGGGCATGCAGGGGGTTGGTGTTTCCCTGGAAAACCTCCCTCCAAAGCCCCCCAGCGCCCTGAGGAACAGGGGGGGGGCTTCCTGCCTCTCCTCGCCCTGCCGGGGAGGGCACGGAGGGGGCGCAGCCCCCCGAGGGGGGGCTCAGCCCCGGCCGCAGGGACGCGCCGTCGGGCGGCAGCTGCAGGCGGAGCCGCTCGGCTCCGCTTTGAAACAAAAGGCTTATTTTTTTTTTTTTAGAGAAGAACTCCAAACGTACATTTGCAGAAATAAACGTTTTGTTTTGCTTTTTTTTTGTTTTTTTTTTTTTTAATCCCTGCGCTCCCCCCCCCCACACCATGTGCGCTGCGCTCCCCCCTTCCCTCCCCTTTTCTCCCCCCACGCGTCTCCGGGCTGCGTTTTCTTTTTTTTTTTATTATCATTCCTTTAATTATTATTATTACTTTTTTTTTTTTTTTTTTTTTGCTTTCCTTCCCCAACCCCCCCCCCCCCCCCCACCCTCCCCCTTCGTTTCCACGCACGTTTCGGCTCCAGCTCCCCAAACTCTTTGATCTCCCCTTGCTGTCTCCTTACCCGGAAGAAAACCCTCGGCCGGCTCAGCTGGGAGCTCGGCGCACACGTGGGCGCCCTGGCGCGCCTCCATGCTCCTGCCAAATTTAGTCGCACAAAGGGCCCGGGGGGGGCTCGGGGGGGGGGATGAAAGGGGCCGCCGGCGGGACATCAAAGGCTCCGCCGCCCCGCCCCGCTCCCGCCCTCCCCTATATACCGGGCGCCGGCGGCTTCGCACGCAAAGGGGGTCCCCCCCCCCTCTCCTCTCCTGGCTGGCCTTGGGGCACCATGGGGGGGGATTTGGGATTTGGGGAGCCCGTGCGCCCCCCCTCCCCTAACCCTAACTCCCCCCCCGAGCCCGCTCCGGGGTTGGAAACGGGGGGTCTCGTCCCCGTCGGTTCGTGTTCCCCCCCCCCCATCTCCCCAATTTCCATCCTCGACCCCTCGGATCGGGGCTGAAATAAAAAAAATAATTTAAAAAATAATTAAAAAAATAATAATAATTAAAAAAAAAAAAAACAATATCACTAAACCGGCGAAAATAACCAAAACGAGCTAAAACGCCCAAAACGGGAAGAAAAAAAAATATAATAATAATATAAAAAATCCAAACCCCAAAGCCACCCCCCGCCCCAAAAGATGCCCGAAGTGCACCGAGAGCAGGCGCCCCCCCCCCCCCCCCAACACCCCCCCGGCAGCCGCCAGCTCTGCCTCGTCTCCAGTGAAATCTGGCGTCGGAGTTGAGGTTTCCTGAGTTTATCCCCTTGACATAAATCTTGCCGGTCTCCACCCCCGCCGCCCCCTTCTCCTCCTGCGAAGCCCGAAACCTGCTCCGGGACCGGCCCCAAAGCCCGGGATGGGGGTGCCTGGGGGGGGGGGTCCTGGGGGGGGGCTGCCCGGCTCCGGTCCGAACCGCAGCATCCCCGAGGTGCCGCTTGCTCCCCGCTTGCTGCCTCCCCACGGCCCTTTTTGGGCTTTCCACGTCCCCCTTTTCCCTTTCTCCACTCTTTATTTTCGGTTTGCCCGGCTGGACAAGTCCTGACCCCCCCCCGTTTTCCCCCCCCCCCCAGGTTTCCCACTACCTGCCTCCCCGTCCCGGGGCTTGCGGCTCCCAATTCCGCAGCCGCTTTTTAACCGCTCGCTCGTGGGAAACGCGGCTTTTGCACCCAAAAAAAACGGCGTGGTGGGACATCTCCGAGTGTCCCCAAAGCGGAGGGGGGGGGGCAAAGGGGACAGGCCCCCCCAGGCTCCCCGCAGCCCTGCTGGGCCGATTTGGTGGGAGGCGGGCGGGGGGCGAAGCGGAGCGCCCCGACGCCGAAATCACGGGCAGTGGTTTGCAGCGAAACGCACGGATTTGCTCGCTTACGTTTCCTTACATTTTGGGACAAATACCTATATTTTTTAAATTATTGGTGTTGTGGGTTTTTTTTTTTGTTTTTAACGCGTCCCTACCCTGTCCCACCGCGGAGCTAACGGGGCAGCGCGACTTCCGAAGGGACGGCACGGGGAGGAGAGTTGGGGAGGGGGGGGGGACACACACGGGACACCCCCCCACGGCTCCCCAAAACGCTGCCCCCCCCCTCGCCCCCCAGATCCCTGTGCCCCCCCGGCGGCTCCTTTCATCCCCGCCCCGACGGCGGAGGCAGCGGGGGAGGGCGGCGGGGGGGGGGCGGCCGCTTTTTTCCTTTTCCCCCCCGTTTTCCCCTCCCTTTTTCCCCCCCTTCCCGGGCCGAGCCGAGCCGTGCCGAGCCGGGAGCCGCCGGACAAAGCCCTGGGGGGTGCCCCCGCCTCGCTTTTTGTCACCCCCCCTCCTTTTTTGTGTCCCCCCCCCGAGCCATTTTAACGCGGGTGGCCGCAAACTTCGGGCGTGGGCACGGCTCGGGCCGGCTCCGCTCCCCTCCGCGACCCCTCAGAGGGAGCCGAGGGCTCGGAGGGGGGGTTTTGGGGAGGACCCTGAGGGTTTGGGGCCTCATTAAAACCAGGGCGAGCCCCCCCCCCCCCACCACCTTCTTCCCCGGGGGTCAGGACCGGGAGGGAGCGGGGCTCGCTCGGCCCCGAGGGGGCGGGCGGGGGGGCTCCGGCTGGCGAAAGCCGCCACCCCGAGGGCTTGCCGGGGCTTTTTTTTTTTTTCTCCTTCTTCCCTCCTCCTCCTCCTCCTCCTCCTCCTCCTTCGCCTCCTCCCCCCGCTGCTCCTCCCGCTCCCCTTCCCGCGGCGGGCCGGCGGCCGCAGCAGACGCCGCGCTGCCGGGAGGATGCCGCAGCTGCCGGGGGCCGGGGGCGGCGGGGGGGACCCGGAGCTGTGCGCCACCGACGAGATGATCCCCTTCAAGGACGAGGGGGACCCCCAGAAGGAGAAGATCTTCGCCGAGATCAGCCACCCCGAGGAGGAGGGCGACCTGGCCGACATCAAGTCCTCGCTGGTCAACGAGTCCGAGATCGCCCCCGGCGCCAACGGGCACGAGGTGCGGGGAAGAGGGAGGCAGGGAGGGACGGAGCTGCCCCCTTTTTGCCCCTTTTTCCCCCTAGAAAAAAACAGCCCCGGCCCCTCACCGCCGCTCCCGGTCCCGCCCGGGGCCAGGAGGTGCCCCCGAGCCCCCCGACGGCACCCGGGGCACCCCGAAACGAGCCCGGCAGCAGCGGCGGGGGCAGCCGCAAACTCTGCGAGGGATTTGCCCCAAAACTGCTTGGGAAGAAATTCCCGACGCTAAAACAACGTGGGGCGAGCCGGGGACCCGTTTGTGGTTGTTGGCTTTTTATTTTGCCATTTCTTTATTTTTTTTTTCATTCCGTCTTTTTTTTTTTTCATTCCTTCTTTCTTCATTCCTTCTTCTTTCACCCCTTCTTCTTTCATTTCTTCTTTTTCCTTCTTTTGTATTCCTTCTTTTTCATTTCTTCTTTTTCATTTCTTCTTTCATTTCTTCTTTTATTTCTTCTTTCATTTCTTCTTTTATTTCTCCTTTCATTTCTCCTTTCATTTCTTCTCTCATTTCTTCTTTCATTTCTTTATTCATTCCTTCTATTCATTTCTTCTATTCATTCCTTCTTTTTTCTTCTTTTTTTAATTTCTTCCTTCTTTTCCTTTTCCTTCTATTTTTTTTTTTCCTAAAGACCTGGCAGCCCGATTCTCCCTGTTATTTTTGGTAACTCCCATGTAGCGAGGGGGTTTCGCCCGCCGAAGCTGGGTGTGTTTTCCAGAAATAAGCCCCTTTCGTTAAGCGCAGGGCGCTGTGGCTCTGTGGCTTCGCACAGCCACGCAGTTGTCGTAAAACAATCCCTTATCCAAACGATGATCCCGGTGCAGTTGCCTTCCAAAGGGCTTAGGAGGAAAAACAAAGATGCTTATCTCTTGCCCTAACTTTCTTCTGTCCCCAAGAAGATGTAAGCCCCGTGGCCGATACGTGAGCATCCACACAATGACTTTTCTTCTTTTCCTTCTTCCTCTCCGGCGGTGGATTCCCCGTGCTCAGGTTTCCAGGCAAACTCAGGCGCAGGATTCCTACCATGACAAAGGCAGAGAGCACCCCGAGGAAGGTGAGAACCGCACGGTCCCGTCGGGATGTATTGGCCCGAGCCCCCGCGGACTGGAATTTGCTTTCTCTGGGGAGGCGTAAATTTAGTATCTTTTGGGGAAGGGGGACGCCGGGGCGCTTTCAAAGCACGTTTGGAAAGGAGATGGATGTACAGCACGTTTATCTCGAGTGACCAAATGGTTCTGCAGTTGTCTAGAAACTGATAAGTAGGCCAAATGGATCCTCGCTGAAGAAATAACTATTTTTAGGATATCAGCTTAAACACATCTATCTCCCCACTCAGACGGTGCAGCCGAGTTGTGTTCAGAAACTGTGTGCTCTCTTCCCCTTAGCCAAAGTCTGTCCCTTAAAGCCCCTCTTCAAATCTGAACACGAACAGACCTCTTGCCATTTTTAATGTACCGGCCGGTTAATTTGGGTCGAGGAGGACGGAGGAAATAACAAAGTTTGTCAAATACCGCTTAGGAAGCTGGACACGTGTACAAAGAATGAGTGCTGCGAAGGACGGAAGGCTGTGTTTAAAATGAAATGCTTATGATCGTGAGCTAAGCCAGATGATAAATGCCATGTAGGGACGGGCACCGTTCGGTCCTGCTGCTTCCCGGGACTCTGCGGTGATCTGTCACAAAACTGGTCGTTAAAGAGCCTCCAAGCAGTAATGCCCACGCTGCTGGCATTTGGGCAGTTAGGGGGAGGAGATCAGCTCTGCACAGCCTTCCCTTCCGCCTCGCAGCCTCCTAAAAGCTCACCTGCAAGTGGTGCCACTGCCAGCGACCGTCGGGTGGGAGACCTGTTCGCCCCCTCCAGTGCCCATCCCTTTGCAGGGCCTGGGGCCAAATTCTTTATTTTCGTACAAAATCACCTTCCTCGCTCGGCTTCCCCCTCAACTAGAGTGCCATGCCTGTTACACAGCTTCCCCCCGACTCTCCCCCAAAAATAATTCACCGGGGTCTCCTTAGAAGCTGGCCCTTGCCCTCTAATTGTTCCCGGTTAGCACGGCCAGCATGAATTGTTTGCTGCACACAGCGTCTCGGCAAGAGAAGGAAACAATTATATCTAGTTATCACTGCCCCGTTCCTCCCTTTCCTAACAATGATGTTGAAAACCCATCCTGACAATACTTCTGAATCCACAAATCCTAGAGGGAGGTGTAAAATGGGGGAAGGCTGCTACTTGAGAAATGTCATGTCCCTGCTGATGTCTCTGCCTCTCCGACTGGGGGCTTGGCAAAATGAATGGGTTACTCCGAGGGTTTGTCGTATACTGAGTGTAAACTCCTCGCTGAATGCACGCAGCCCTGTAAGGATGAACTCTTCTTCCCCAAAAAATGTTTCTGTGAATTGCTGCAGACTACTTCCTGCTCGAAGTAATTGCCATGAGCGAGGAAGCGTTTGCACGCAGAGCATTTCCACGAATGGTACCTGTTCAAGTGCTCTGACTTACAAGAACTGCATGTGCGGGGAATCATGTAATCGTTGTTTCCTCTTCCACAGGAAAACATCCAGACAGTGGCTTATACAGCAAGGGACCATCCTACTCTGGTTATTCTGGGTATATCATGATGCCAAATATGAATAACGACCCGTACATGCCTAATGGATCTCTGTCGCCACCCATCCCCAGAACAGTGAGTGATCCCTTCCCAAGACGGGT